CATCACACACATCTGCCAACTCTGTCTCAGGGCCAGCTGTGTGTTTGTGGAGGCAGTATAAGGACTGTCCAGTGCTAAAAAAATTAACAACATCTTTAAGGATTCTCTTGAAAACTTAATCTTTGAATTTTTCTTGCCTGTAAGTTTTCACTATTTTGTATAAAATATGCAAAGATTTGGTTTATAATTAGAAATATACAAACCAAGAAATAAGTTAACATTTAAAATATAGCAGGGGGGTGGTGTGGTGGTTAGGGAGTGAAGGGATTGAGCAAAAAGGGAAAAGGACCCATGGACATGGACAACAGTGTAGTGATTGCTGGGGGGAGAGTGTTATAATGAGACTTGTGGAAAAAATACAATAAAGAATAAATAAAAAAGTATATGGGCATATTGTTTGTATAAGGGAAAATCTTTAAGTAATATAAAGCAATGATAATTTTTGGGTCTTGTTTTTTTCTTGGAGTATTTCTGAAAATTAGTGTTTGTTATTTTGATCCAATATTGAAGAACATTAAGTTTACAAAATAACTTTGTCTTCTTCTGCTATTCTTAATAGATACCTATTTTCTTGAAGCTGTGAGATCACAGGTTAAATACTGAATGTAAATATTAAATATTTAAAAGTAAATTCAATGAATAACTTGAAATAAACCTTTAACTAAATTATAACTTGAGAAAAAATGTAAAAGATTTAGCTCTCTAAATGAAATTTAAATCATATACAAATTGGTAAAAGTGTGAGTATTATATTCCCAGTCTCAATTTACCACTATAGAAAATCTTATTTTATTATTTGAATATTTTTGGAATTTTTACATCTTTGGGAAAGTGTGAGGTGGTGGGAATGATAATGGCTTTGGAGTAAGGTGGACCTATATAAGTAGCTTGCTTATTTGACAAGGCTTTTTAACTTTTCAATCTATACCCTTACTTATTTTATCTATCTCATATGGTAAATAAAACAATATTAATATGTACTTAGCACTCAGCCTAGCATATGTTAGTTGCTTAGAACTAACTCCTTATTTATACACAAATTAGTATGGTTGGTGGTTTGTTGAGAATATTGAGTGTGGCCTCATTTAAGTGGAGATACCCTGATAAAGGGGCTTGATTAAGTATTTAAATTCCAGGTCAAGGAAGTTGTATTTGAAAGCTAATAGGCAGCTGATAATTAGTTTTAAATACAACAGTTATTTATTGAGACATTATATATGTGATATGGTTTGAGGTATTGGTAAGAGTAAAATGGCTCTAACAGAAGAATAGTGGTTTTTGACAATATGATACAGCATTTAGGGTAAATATGAGAGGGAAGAGAGTAGAAATAAGAAGACAAGCAGGAAGACTGTTGTAATAATCTGTGTGAGGTGACGTGGTTTGTACTGATGGATACAAATGGAAAGAAAAGCAGGAAGTGTGAAGCCAAGGGACATGCAGGAAATGTTGACAAGGGATGGAGCCTGGGTGGGTTTGTGGAGCGGGCGGGCTGAGGTACAGAGGTGAAGTTAAAGAGTATTCCATGGTGTCAAGTCTGGGAGTCCTGAAACATAATGTTAGTGCAAGCAGTATGGTGGATAGTTGGGAAGAAGGGAGTTCTGTCTTCTGTACTCTACCCTTTCTTTCTCTTCTCTTTTTCTTACTGGAAGGAATAGAGGAAGAATAAAAGACCAGGTACGGGGGCAGTTAATTATAGCATATGCTACCTGAAATTATTAATAGGCATTAAAAGAACAGGGATCTAACCACTAAAATATTTAGAAAGGATACGCTAATTCAAATTGATAGCCACTGATGTAGGACGTGAAGAGATAAACCCTTTTCCTGTGCTATATTTCAGTGCAACAAGTATTGTAAAAGGTATTGCAGAAGATATGCCAATAAGAGAATTGGTTCCGTACTCAAGAATATTAAAGAACATGTAAATCTGGGTTTAGATATCCTCAGGAGCCAAGCCAAAGACAAAGCAGGTCATATACTGTATACAGGACAATATTTTGAATGCTCATAGGGGTAACATACTTTTGGGGCTTGAGAGAAAAAGAATATCAGGTTTGGGGAACCAGGAAAGGCTTTATCATGAGTTAGCTTTTTAGGTTTTAGGAGGTGATCTACTTAGGGAGAGGTTGTGGTAAAGTGCTAAATGGATGAAATACTGTCAAAGGTATTGGGAAAATAAAACATGGAGAGTGTTGGGTATGTGCGAGGGGTAGTAATGAGACCTTACTGGTAGGATAAATTGGGGTCTAAAAGGGCTTTAAATGTCAGTGAGAAAATGTGTCTTAAATTTAATAATAATGATAGTAGTAATAGCTAGTGCTTATTGTTAAATCCATGTCAGGCCCTGTGTTAGGTGCAAGACATACATTATCTATAATCTTTATAGTAATTTCCTTGATAGATGCCTTCCCCAGTTTATAGATGGAAAAAGACTTAAGCCTAGAGAGGCTGTTTAATTTGGGCAGCCTCATACAGCTATTAAATGGGAGAGATAAATACTAGTTTCACATGATTCCTAAATGATGGCAGGACCTGCTTATTCTGTTATTGGGATTATTGCTTGTTCTGTTAATCAAGAAGTTAGCTAATGCAGAGGATCGTGAGATGATACCTACATATTTTAAATATTTTTAATATAAAGCAACTAAATATACATTTATTCATTACTATTTTGGGTTAATACGGCTTCTTTGAGTAGGAATCTGTTGATCAGATTTCCAAGAACCTTAGGCTAGTTTAAAAGCTACCCAAATACAGACTCTGTCTGGAGCAGTGCTTCTCCAAATGTGGTCCTGGGACCAGCAGCGTCAGCATCCCCACCCTGGGAACTGGTTAGAAATGTCAGTTCTTGGGACCCACTGTGTACCTACAGAATCCAAGCTCTGAGAGTGGGGCCCAGCAAGGCCTTTAGGTGATTCTAACTCATGTTATAGTTGGAGAACTACTGATTTATAGGAGGGCTCGTGATATGGTTTGGTTGAAGGTTGTAAGATATGAACATTAACCTAGTGGCCGTGGGAAGGGAAAGAGAAGTTGGAGAAGAGGAATTTATAAACTAGAAGAGAAACAGAATCAGAGAAATGGACATCACATGGAGGGATTTCAGTGGGGAGGGGGAGGTAGGAATAATGGGGAAAGGTACAGGGAAGAAGAAGCATAATTAGTAGGCATAAAATAGATCGGGAGAGATAAAAAATGGTATAGGAAAAAGAGGACTCAAAGAACTTATATACAACCCATGGACATGAACTAAGGGGGGTGGAATGCTGGAGGGTAGGCAGGGTAAGGTGGAGGTGGGTAAAGGGGGAATATTGGAAAACTAATAGCATAATCAATAAAAATACTTAAAGAGTTATAGCTAACTAATTGGAAAGGAGCTGTAATGGAGAAGATTGTTGTTAAAGCCGTTTGAGGCTATACACAGGTATCTGGTGGAAGAATGGTACCATTAGCAAAGATAAATGTTAGAGAAAAGAGGTGGCTTGTGAGAGGTGGGTAGGGTGATAGATTTGGTATGTTGACTGATGTGGTAACCTTGTCTAGTGTGAATAGATCTGACATTCTGGAGGGACATTTTGGCTGAAGAAAGAGCTAAAGAATTGACTCGTTTATAATGAATCTGGAGTTGGAACTATGGGAGAGGAGAATACGTTTGCTAAACTCCTTTTAAGAAAAAATCTGGTGGTTTATAATGACAAAGTCTAAGTTTTTGTCTACTGCCTCCTTAATGTAAAATAGTGGGATAAAGTAGATTGGATCGTTGCCAAGTTACAGATGAAAAAACTGAGACTTTCCCGGGTCACACAGCTAGAATGGTAAAGCTGGAGCTGGCGCTCAGGCCTTTTTCATTCTCAGCTTGTACTTTTGCTATAATCTCACATGACTTCATGTCAAATATTTCTACTTGACATTTGAGGTCTGCACTGTCTTGGGCAGACCTGAGAAACTGCTGAAGCAGCCGTAGGCATTCCAGGAAGCAGTGGTGTGTTCAGAGCTAAGTGGAAATGGGCAGGGCAGGAAATCTCACTCAGAAACAGTTAAAATTGTAAAGGAAATCCTTTGGCTACCTGGGTAAGGTGACTGTTCTTTAGAACACATTCAGTACTTTAATAAAACTGCACTGAAGACTCTATGCTGCATACCATGATGGATTCATTATCATCGGAAGAACATCAGTCAGGCTGTCCTTGATCTCCTGTCCTGCATGTATGCAAGGCTCTGATCCAGTGGTATGTTCAAACTGAAGGTCTTGGTTACAGTGGCACTTACAACATGGACCATCCTAAATTATCTTTGTCATTTGAGAGACCACAAAAATTCTAACTTTTCTAAATCACAGTATTATTTATAATCATCACTCTTTACTTTCAGTAAACATGTTTCATAAAATAATTATCCACTTTTAGAACTCTTAATCTCTCATATTTGATATATGGTCTGAGTTTGTAAATTAATTTTAGTATTAGCAGGAACCTAACAGTATAAAGGAAAATGTACAGTATATTATTGAATTGTCTGAGATACTCCTTTCTACAAATATAGAAAAGAGCTGATTAGGTGGAATTTAGGTCAGTTACTGCTTTCAAAATGTACAGAAAAACCTGTTGGCTGGAGCTTAACCTTTCCCTCTTTATTTTGTCATAATTGCTGTTATTCTAGCCTGGTTTTCCTCATTAGACTGAACAATCACCAACATCTGTAACAACTGCTCTCCCTTTCCTTTAATGTGCACTACACACCAGAGATGGGAGCACTAAAAAAGTGTGCAAAGACTCCTAACCCACTACAGTTTGGGTTGGTCTTGAAACTTGCTGCTCCCTTCCCTCCCCCTCACACTGCGTATTGTTAAATGATTTGGGATGAATGACTAATTTAATTCTACTTGAAGGTAAGAAATTGGAATATGTTACAGATCTGCCCTGTGCTAACACTTTTTCTAGATGTGGTTGATGAGTTCGTGATATTTACTGCATTTACTTTTAAAATATTTGTTTTAGCTATGAATTTGTGAAGTACCTAAGACAGCACATATCCAACACTTTGGGGTCCATGATTGAAGAAGAAATGGAAAAATGGACATCTGATCAGAATCAGAGTGAGGAATCTGGCTATGACACAGTTGTGCAGCATGTCACTAAAAGAACTCAGGAATCTAAAGAGTGAGTATGCCCTCAGTAATATTTTAAAGTACTTTTTCTCTTAACACGGCTCCTTGAAAGCACCCCTGACCTGCGCCCTGCAGTCTGTTTTCCTCACAGCAGCCACAATGATCCCTGGAAACTGAGTTGGATTGTGCTCCTCTTCCAACGTGGCACTTTCCAAAGACTTCTCATCTCATTCACAGTAAGATCCAGATTCTTCTGTAGACCAAAGACCCACCATGAGCCTTCTGTTCTCTCTGTCACCTCATTTCTTGTCGTATCTCCTTTGGCATTGCTTCGTCCACACCAGTCTTGTTCTTTCTCAAACAGGCCAAGGGATTTGTATTCTAATTGCTTCTAGTTATTTGTGTGGCTTACTCGTTCACTTTTCTTTAATGGACTTTACTTTTTAGAGTAGCTTTAGGTTCATAGAAAAATTGAGCAGAAGGTACATATTTCTTTCTCACACACCCACTGCTCTTATAGATGAGCAGACTTACCCATTTTTAACATTCCCCACCAGGGAGGTACATTTGTTTCAATTGAGGAACCTACGTTGATGTATCATTGTTACCCAGAGGTTGTCATTTACACAAGTGCTTTCTGGTGTTGTGCATTCACTGGGGTTTGGACAGATTTATAATGCCATGTATTTGTTGTTATCCTATATTAGAGAGTAGTTTCACTGCCCTAAAAATCTTCTGTGCTCTGTCTATTCACCCCGCCTCCTCTCAGCCTCTGGAAGCCACTGATCTTTTTTTATTGTCACCGTTGTTTTGCCTTTTCCTTTTTTGGAATGTCATGTAGCTGAAACCATACAGTATATTGCCTTTCAGTTTGACTTCTTTCACTTAATATTATATGTTTACGTTTCCTCCATGTTTTTTCATGGCTTGAAAGCTCATTTTTCTTTAGCACTAATATTCCATTGTCTGTGTGGATGAGGCTTCCCTTTTAAGCTTTGGCAATTACAAATAAAACTGCCATAAACATTGCAAGCAGGTTTTTGTGTGCACATATATTTTCAAATCCTTTGGGTAAATACCAAGGAGAGTGATTGCTCGGTCGTATGATAAGAGTGTGTTAAGTTTTGTAAGAAACTACCAATTGTTTTCCAAAGTGTCTGTACAATTTTGCATTTTCATGACTACCGTGTGAAAATTCTTTCTTTATAGGTAAAATAAACTATAATTTGTTCAATTCAATACCTTCATGTTCAGAACAAACATAAATTTGCTTAAAAGAAGTCCTATATTGGCCCTGACTGGTGCGGTTCATGGATTGAGTGCCAGCTTGAAAACCAAAGGGTCACCAGTTCTATTCCCAGTCAGGGCACATGCCTGGGTTGTGGGCCAGGTCCCCAGTTGGGGGTGTGTGAGAGGCAACCACACATTGATGTTTCTTTCTCTCTTTTTCCCCTTTCCCCTCTCTCTAAAAATAAATAAATAAAAAATTTAATAAGTCCTATATTGTTTCTAGGTTTGGATATTTGATAAATGCGAATATGTTATTTAGCTGTTTGACAATTTAGAAATGACTTGAAATACTCTATATAGAAAAAATTAAAGAAAAGAAAAGCTCTGAATAAAAAAGATTTAAAACATATGTTACATGTATTACCATATAAACAAACTCATTAGGTAACCCATATTTTCTTCACCAGTCACTGAATTTTTAAATCACATTATATAGACTGCTTAAAGTTGTAGTCACACACATCATTATAAAACAGATAAAATATAAACATTAAGTTAAATTGTACCTTAACTTTTCTGTAACATCCTCCTTTTATCCATCATAAGGTCACTCATAATTAAATTTCTGGAAAGCCTATAATAGCAAATATTAAGGCTCACTCCACTACCCCAAAATTTTTATGATGCAAACTTACATTTATTAATCTGTATTATTTGTAGGATATTCTTCTCTGAGATAGTATATGCTTCCTTTTTCCTATATTTTATTGATATCTACTTGAGTAAGTATTTTGGAGCACTTTGCTTATTAGTAGATATTTTTAGAGACCACATTAGCAAATTAAGCCTAATAAATTGACATTTATTAACTTAATGCCTTAGGACCCTGAACAAAACAATTCCATCTGAAAGAGAACAAAGTCACTTTGATTATAACATTCATGGGTTGGATTGCTTATTGTCACTTTAAAGTTGATGATTAACTAGTTTATCTTTATTCTGGGACTTTCTGAAAGGTAGATGAATGGTGTGGACTTTTAAGTATTCTTCACACTTTATTGTAGAGTTACACTTAATATAATCATGGAAGGAGAATATTTTTATGTTAGTAGTTATGCTCACATACCATTGAACTTAATATCTGGAAATTGAAACTCAATAATTTTTTTTGTGTGAATGTTATATTTGTTGAAGATACTGGAATTTGGGAAGAGCAAAATTTTGTGAAATATTATAATTTATACTTAAATACATTTATCATCCTGCTGATAATGAAAGGGTAGGAGAATCTGCTAAACTTTTGATAGCTGATGTACCATCTATGTACCTGTGATTTCTGAAGAATTCACACTTGAAGCAGGATAAATTGAATACCAATTGGTATATGTGTCCTGTCTTTGATTTTAATACTAATCACTCTGAGAATGGGGTTGCATTATGAACAAGTGGATTCAGAATTTAACACCCTAATGCATTAAAAACTAAATTACATTCATGTAAAATGGATATGTTTCAAGAGCTTTGTGAACAGATATGTGGAAGTTTGAGTTCTTGGCCCTAATTTCCAGGCCTCTCTACAGAAGAGAGCAACATCACATAATCTCTCTGTAGAATTCGTTGTCAGGAACTGGAACATTGTTAGTTGAATAGTTACAGCAAGTCCTGATCTTGCATAAGACTGAAGCAATTTCCTTAGCACAGCGTAGCATTTCCATGAACTTGTGTTTAGGATTCACTCTGTAGCATCAAGTTGAGACTGTATAAGGTATAGTTGGTTCTAGAGGCTGGAAGTCCAAGGTCAGAATGCCAGCATGGTTGGGTGAGGGCCCTTTCCCAAGTCGAAGACTTCTTGTTGTATCCTCTCTTGGCAGAAGTATATGTAAGTTCTTGTTGCTCCACTTATTCACCAGCATTTGATATTGTCAGTGTTCTTGATTTTGATCATTTGTCATAATTCTGACTTTAACAATAAATCATTTTGTCTTTTCTCCTCTCTGGTCAGTTATATACTCATCACATATTTGATAAGTAATAGCTATATATTTAGGTGTTAGATCTTGGGAATATAAAGATGACTCACCCTCCACTAAGTCATCGTGTATTTGGGAGTTCTACATTACACTGAACTACTGGGTTGGCCAAAAGGTTCGTTTGTTTTTTTTCTGAGATGGCTCTAGTAGTGCTTAGTTGTCTTAAACTTCATTAGAAACAATTTTGTTAGATTGTGTTGTGACAGTTGTCATATCAGCATGCATTTAAAAGAAACCAAATTGGTGAATTTTTGTGTAGCCATTTTAATATTGAAGATAGAAGGAAAAAAGCAACATTTTCCATGTATTATACTTTATTATTTCCAGAATGTTAAAAATACAACTGAAATGCAAAAAGAGATTAGTGCAGTGTATGGAGAAGGTGCTGTGACTGACTAGGCATGTCACAAGTGGTTCGCAAAGTTTTGTGCTTGTGATTTCTCACTGGATGGTTGGGTAGACTAGTTGATAGCGATCAAATTGAGATATTAATTGAGAACAATCACTGTTATACCATGTGGGAGATAGCCAGCGTATTCAAAATATTTAGCTCACGTATTGAAAATCATTTACAAAACTTGGTATGTTAATTGCTTTGATGTTTGGGTTCCACATAAGTTAAGTGAAAAAACCTTGACCATATTTCTGCTTGCGACTCTTGGCTTAAACTTGATGAAAATGTTCCCTTTTTAAACAAGTTGTGACAGGCAATAAAAAGTGGATACTTTCCAATAATGTGAAATGGATGAGATTGTGGGGCAAGCAAAATGAACTGCCAGCAACCACACCAAAGGCCGGTCTTCATCCAAAGAAGGTGATCTTGTGTATATGGTGGACTGGATGGGAGATCTCTGTTTTGAGCTCCTTCCAGAAAACCAAATGATTAATTCCAACAAGTACTGCTCCCAGTTAGACCAACTGAAAGCAGCACTTGATGAAAAGCATCCGGAATTAGTTGACAGAAAACACATAATCTTCCCTCAGGATAACGTAAGACCGCATGTTTCTCTGATGACCAGGCAAAAACTGTTACAGCTTGGCTGGGAAGTTCTAATTCATTTGCCACATTCACCAGGCATTGCACCTTTGGATTTCTGTTTATTTTGGTCTTTACAAAATTCTCTTAAAGGAAAAAATGCCAATTCCCTAGAAGACTGCAAAAGGCACCAGGAGCAGTTCTTTACTCAAAACGATAAACAGTTTTGGGAAGATGGAATTATAAAGTTATCTGAAAGATGGCAGAAGGTAGTAGAACAAAATGGTGAATACATTGTTCAGTAAAGTTATTGGTGAAAATGAAAAATGGTATCTTTTATTTTTACTTAAAAACAAATGAACTTTTGGCCAACCCAATAGAAACTTGAAAGAGATAGTTTTAACACATTGTGGTAAGTATTATGATATGTGCAAAAGGTTACATGTGGAAATATAGAGGAAGAGTATGTTGGTTAGAATATACATTAAACAGCTACAGTAACTAGACACCAAAATATAGTGGTTCAAAGAAGGCAGTTTGTTCTCTCTTCTATAAAGTTCGAAAGTACACGAGTGCAAGGTGGTAGGTGGGTCAGCTCAATGAGTTTATCCAGGGACCTCAGGTTCCTTTCATTTTATTTCCATTATATCCTAGGGTAGAGGCTGGAAAGCTTTTTCTGTAAAGGGTCATGCATAAATATTTTAGGCTTACAAGTTTTTGAGGTGGGAAAACTGACACAGACAATATATAAGTATGCATGTGTTTCAATAAAACTTTACAAAAACAGGTGGTAGGTTAGTTTATGTCCAGAAGATATATTTTGCCAACCCGTGCCTTTGGGTATTGCCTTCATCTGCTTGGTTGAAGCAGCCACACTACCACACAACTCTCTAGCTGGCCATGGGAAGAGAGAGTGGAGGGTAAGATTCTTTATTCACTCACTTTCCACTGGCTAAAACTTGGTCATCTGCTCACACTTATCTGCAGTGGACACTGGTGATGATTTGGACACTGACATTTGCTTTGTTAATTTGGCCCCTGGTGTTGGATGTAGGTGATGTTGCCTTTTGCATCTGGTTTCTCTTCATGCCAGGGCATCATGATTGGTTCCTGTGTAGTGTGAAGGCAGGTGTTGAAGTTTTGAATATAGCTCATCGTTCCAGCTTTAGAAAACTTGGAATATATACCTCAGTCTTCTATTACCTAGTGGAATTTAAAACATTAAGTCTGATTTACTACCTTGGACAGGCCCCCTTCTGCTTTGGACAGCTGATTGTACTGCATAAATACGTTAGTGAACAAAGTGACATTGTACAGCTATTAATAAATTTAGCAAGTTTAAACCACTAATATGTATTAAGTAAAAGCCATAGAAATTAAGACTTCTTATTTCTTGATTAGGAGAAAAAACAGGAACTGGAGTTATTTCTATTTTTGGATGATAGTATGATTCCTAGTATATTTCTGGCAATATTATTACTTATTTTAAACAGAGTACTAAAATTCTTTATTAGTCAGAAAATTAAAGCATTTTAATGCTAAGAGTAAAGTTTTATATGTGATTATTAGGAAATTACTTTTTATCTCTGGGTAAGCCATTTAATTTTCATGTGTATTAGTTAATCCATATGTAAAAATTAATACAGTAATAATTGTATTCATTATTTAATAATAATTATTATAAACTATTATTATATTAAAATTGTATAGGACTTTAAAAGTCTTAATGAATGCTTGTCTTCTGCTTTGTGAATATGATGAAAGATTTTGAGTTGTACAGAGAGTTATTTTTTTTCAATATTTTTTGTGGTTCTTTAGAAATTACTTAGGGCTAATGTGGCAACCGTGCATCCACTGATAAAATTTTTACTCTAATAATAAATTACTTTCTTAATTTAAAATTTTGATATTTATTTTTTAATAGAGGTTTGAACATGAATTTATTTGTAGGATCTGTTATATACTTATCATGTATATAAGTAAAAATACAATGTAGAGTTCTTTTGTTAATTGATATATTTTTTATTCACTACCTCTTAGAGCATTTTGTTATTTTGACTTCTTGCGGTATAAAGGAATCTTCTCAGTGGTGTTCATATGCTGTCCTATATCTATTTGTCCTTGGCTGTTTAAGAACTGTAATGGCTACTATTGAGTTCTAGCTCACTGAACTCTTGGTTGAGGGTGGGTCTCTCTATTTTCTTTCTCGAAATTATCATTCCTGTCTTTTTCTGTGTCCAGTTGGCTGATATGTCTCGCAGAGAATTTATTATAGGGGTTTCAGGAATGTCTGGAGTAAACATGTCTAAAATGAAACAAATTTTCTATGGATATTAATTACTCTTACTTTTTCTCTGTAAATCATTGAGACTTACTTTTGTATTTCTCATTAAATCACCGGAGTGTGAGTTTTAAGAGGACAGGACTTTGTTATTCACAAGGCTATACCTAACTGCAAAGGCGTCTGGGGAGTGTAGTTTAGTCCTATGCCCTGCTATAATTCAGTTCCTGTGGAAGGAGACAGCTTTTGGTAGATAGCTATTAATTGCTTCCAGAGCATTGTTATGCTTTCCTATTTCTGGCTGCTCAGACTTTGTAGAGGAGGAAGCTGAGGCTTCCTGGCTCAGTCATCCTGCAGGTACTTCACCAGGCAGTCTAATCAGTGTCCTAGGATTCTTTCCTGTTTTCTGTGTCAGTTACTTTAATCCTGGATCCTCCCTGGATGACCTCACCTCTATGGCACTTGTATTGTGCGTGTTTTCACCCTGTTTTGTTCCTAACCTAGTGTCATCTTCTTTCAATATTTTCATGTTTTATTATAATTTCTGGGGCTTTAAAAATTATACATATATAGCTATATGTATTACATTTATTTATAGTTACATATTATGCAAATCATATATTATTAAATAATTTGACCAAATATATATCTGGTGTATAGAAATGACATATATTTAATAATACATAACATATATTTTTTAAAATCTTGAAACTTTAAAATTTTAGTCTATTATTTCTATCCATATCTCACAGCATGATTTTATTGTTTTATGAGAGATTACCTTACCTATCCTTTCTTTGATTTATGCTGTTACCATGACCTAATAACCAAAACTATAAAAAGGAAAGTTTCTGTGCTTATTTTCCTAATTTATTACCATTACTATAGTGATAAACAATAAATATTTTTATTTCCTTTATATTTATAAAGAATTTTGAGATATGTGAGGTCTGTCTGGAAAAAATCCAACCATTGTTGATATAATAAGAATGGTTTGTGCAACATCGATGTATCCCGGCAGCCAAGGAGAGTGGACTGGAATGCACATGTGTGAACAATGATAACTTCACTGTACTAGTCAGTGGGGGTGGTAGATGGATGCTGTTGAGTGAGATGCCTACTGTGTGGCTGTTGCATTCAAAATGACTGAGTAGAGCAACAGGTCTGTATCAGATTTTGTGTTAAGTTGGAACATTCCTCTGTGGAAACTATTTCGATGATTCAAAAAGCCACACTACTGGCAACTGGTGTTTGGCAGCTTCATCAGACAACCCGCTTCCTCATGCATCACGTCTTATGCAGAGTTTTATGGCAAAACAGCAAATCACCCAGTTGACTCAGCCCCTCTACAGCCCAGATTTGGTACCCTGTAACTTCTGGTTTGCCCCAAAACTAAAATCACCTTTTAAATGGAAGCGATTTCAGACCATCAATAAAATACAACAGGGCAGCTTAAGGCGATTGGGAGAACTGAGGTCCCAATTGCCTACTTTGAAGCAGAATGAGGCATCATTGTCCTGTTGTAATGTTTCTTGTATCTTCTTCAGTAAATGTCTCTGTTTTTCATATTACATGGCTGATTGCTTTCTGAACAGACCTTTTATATTTTCAATTATTTCTTGCTATAGCCATGTGAAATAGGTTTGCATTTTTATTTTATTTGTAGTTGAGGGAAATAGACAGAACTTACGTATGATGACAGAGCTGGTACGTAAAGTAGTCAGGATTCTAATTCAGGTTTTTTGACTCCAAATTTAGTACTATATACACTATGTTTGTTTAAATCTTTACTTGAGATTTAGATATTCCAGTGGTTCAGTGGTTCAGGTCATAAATATATATATATAAAAAACACTCCCAAATATACTCCCATAAATATATAAAGACTTTATTTATTTATTTTAGAGGGAGAGAAGGAAACATCAGTGTGTGGTTGCCTCTCGAATGCCCCCTACTGGGGACCTGACCTTGCCATCAACCCTGGCATGTAACCTGACTGGGAATTGAACCTGTGACCTTTTGGTTTGAAGGCTGGTGCTCAATCCACTAAGCCACATCAGCCAGAGCTATTTCTTATCTCTAAAATAAAGGGCTAGACTAGATTATTTTATGGTCTCATTTAACTCTAAAATTCTGTTTCTAGGGATTGTAGATCTCAATTGAATATAAATATGAATGCACTTAATAAATGGGGAAAATTATTATAAGTTTTTTTGAGAGTTTTAAATTCATAGAGCTGAAGGGGATCTTAGAAGTTATCCAGCAAATAACTCCAACTAATGTCAGGAATCCCTTTTTTAACATCCCTGACAGTGGGTTCTCTAACTTCTATTGAAATGACCCACTGATAGCTTAACCCTTCTTTAGGTCCAAATTATGGCTACTGCTGCCTGTAGATATAAAGAATTGGCAGGTGATCAGGAAGGAAAAAAAAAGAGGGAAGATAGAGAAATAAAACATGATAGTGTAAAATAGGCTGAGTTTTGGTAGTATGATATTAACAGTTGACTTTATTGATAAATAGAATCCATGCCGCTGGAATATCTTGCCTTAGATTCTGTTAATTTTACTACCTTGGTCCTTGTAACCAGATGACAAAAACCTTAGAAAAACACAATTTTGGGATTCTCTATTAATTTTTATTATTGTTATGTGAATTCTGTTGTGCCATTCATTCTTTAAGAAAAACTGACATTTTTTTTTCTCTTTAGAATTGTATTCTTAGAGGGATTTTACAGAAAAAGACAGTTTAGTTGAATGTTTTAACTTGTGCTAATAGTCTTTCTCTTACTGAGACTGCTTTGAATGTAAAGGTACAGAGAAATGATGCATTCCCTGAAGAACACCATGATGGTAGTGGTGGAATCTATGATTAACAAGTTTGAAGAAGATGAAATGCGAAGTCAGGAGAGGCAGAAAAAAATGCAAAAGGAGAAAAGCAGTAGTTACTGCACAGACAACTGCTCTGACAGTGATTCGTCATTCAATCAGGTATGTTATTTATTTGTGCATTTACGTCTTGAAATAGTGTTTAATAAACACTAGCTTTAAGACATTCTTTATTAGCTAGATTATTTTTCTGCTTTCTAGTTATAAGCTTCAGAAGAAAAATAAACAATACAATAACCTAATATTAAAGATTTAGTCCATGAAATAACTTCTTGTAGAATTATATATTCAGTGAGTGATTATATTATATTTGAGGCATGGAGAAGGGCTCAGGAAAAGTAAGGAAAGTATAGGAACAAAAGTTCAAGCAGTGTTGTAGTTATGTCTAGGGTGCTATTAGTACCTTCTTTTTTATGTTGTTTTATCTTTCAGTATTATTCATCTCACATTTCTGGGCTTTACGTCTTCTGAGTCTTATTATGTTCTACACATTGCAGTTGCTCAGAGAATAATAATAGTTTTCATTTGCACGAAGGTACACTGTTCTACTGGGACATTCAGCGCTCATTTAAATGCCTTGGGAAACAAAAATTCTATGTTTGCTGCCAAATCAAAATAGATCACTCCCTTCTCTTCTTCCGAATGCATTTTTTTTTGCTTGGAATTATATTTGAAAATCGTTTATAGTAGCACTGCTAAAAGTGTACTAAATAAATGACTGTTCTGTCAATTGTATTACAGAGTTACAAATTTTGTCAAGGAAAATTGCAGTTGATTTTAGACCAGTTGGATCCAGGGCAACCAAAAGAGGTAAGTTTAAAGGGCAGCTGTTAAGTCTGTATGTATGTGTGTGGGTAATGACTATTATAATCAGAAGCAACTGGGCTGTTCCTTTTGAAGATTGTCTTTATTATTACAGCAGTGCTGGACTGACAGGCCTGCTAGATTTCCAAGTCTTGAAATGAAAGGTCGAGTAAGGGAGACTCTCCTTAGAGAATAGTTGTGATTCGTAGGATTAAATTTTATTTCTAGTTTCTAGTTTCAGTTTTGAAGGGATGAAGTTATGAGCAGTTTTTCCCCAAACTGTTCCTTAACTATTGCTTTATATATAATATTTTAGTGATTTCTTTGAAGAAAAAAATCATTATATGTTCTTTCTACTTCTGGAAAATGTGAGCAGCCTTGACAAATATTCATTTATTAGAAAAATGATTTTCAAGAAGCAATGCTGTTGAATTATATCTATTCATATTTTAAAAGTTTGTACAAATTACTGTTTAGGAAGTATTATTCATTTGAAAGTTAGGCTGAAGTGGAAAATATGTAGTATTTTGAAGTACCTAAGACTCTTGTCTGTATCTCGCCATTTGGTCCCCATGAATGAATAGTTATGATTTATTCCCACTGATTTTCTAAAAAATTAGAGGAAAATTTTTTCCTCTCAGAATTTTATATTCTGACTTATTTTTTAGTTCACAGTAAACACTGTATTTCAAAAGATGTTGAAATGAGATTTGAATTTTATATGGTAATGGTCTTCTTGTCTTCAGTTTGATTATTTAGAAATCTATATTTGTTGAGAAATCTTATTCTATGTTTGCAAGTACGAAATTCTTAATGGGATTTTGTCCTAAAAATTAAAAGGAACATTTGTTTAAAAACTCTTCAACGTTCCCCCAAACCCTATCATAGGTAAAGGAGTTATTTCATATCAATACAGAGACACTTTTAAAATACATTTGTATTCTGTCTTTTTTACCTAATGTTTGCAACCCTGAATCAAAGTGTCTGGTTTCTGAGGTCTCAGCTCTTGTCTCTGACTGTTCACCTATTTATTATTTTTAATCTCCAGGCCTTAGTTATTTCAACTGAAAAAAAAAAAAAGGTTTTGAGGAAGAGGCTAGAATTGGTGTGTTATTACTAGTTGGAGAGTGAATGGGGGAGAAACTTTGTGACATTCGTAATTGGAGGAGAGCTACTATTCTCCACTGCTGTCCCTTGGGTCACACTTTTTTGAGTGAATTCAGATTGGATTTTGAGAAGAATGATTAAGAAGTAAGCTTTCTGTGAAAATACAGAAATTCAATTTTGTGTCATGCTGCTGAATGACTTTTTTCTACCTCAGTAGTTAGAAGGTCAGGAAGTCTGGTGTAGCAGCAAAAACAAGTGTAGATGTTTTGGGAGAATTGTTCCTATATCCTGGGATGGGAATGCTTCTCTCTTTCAGCCCGCAAACTGTAGGAAATCCTCCTCAAGTGGGGAAGGCCTATAGGACAGGCCGTGGGACAACTGTGCCCTGGTGATTCAGCTTCTGCCACCACCTTTCTCTTTGCCTGCTTAGGAGAGTCTAAGTTACATGTCTAATACACTTAGTATTTTTATTTTTGCTTTACAAAAATAACCTATTTTTTCCTCTGTTTAAGAACAGTTTTAAAAATGAGTTCTTTTAACAGGTCTAGTATTATAGAAATGCACATTTGCAACTTACATGATCCTATTAACCAATGTTACTCCAATATATTTAATAAAAAAATTATTTTATACAATAGCATCTGTATGTCTTCAATGGCCTCTTTAAAACCATTATCTAGACTCTGCCTTTCGATGTTTGTTAAAGTTTGGAGAAGTGGTCTTATTCTATCTAGCAGCTGCATATTAATAAAAATCTTTTTGAAAACTACAGGTGAGATATGAAGCCTTGCATACATTGTGTTCAGCACCGCCATCGGATGTACTGACCTGTGAAAACTGGACCACTCTCTGTGAGAAACTGACAATGTCTCTTTCAGATCCCGATCCTGTGTTTAGTGTAAGGAAACGCTTCTAGAAGTACTAAAAATAATCTGTTTTCCCTACTAGAAGCAAATGGAATATGACAGTTTTCTTTAATAGTAGCTCAAACATTGGTAAAATTTCAGTTCTACCTTTTGAATTGTGGAGATTTTTTAAAAGGAATTAACTTACTATTTCATGATTTGATTCAAAGTATTGTATGGTCAGTATCACACTTCACTGACAAATTATAGTGGACCGTGTTACCTTGTTCATTTTGTTTTATCTTGCAAAGGGATAGCCAAGCATATGCCATTGTTTTTGAATTAAGAAAACTACTTTTAAAACCTTTTAAATTGTTTTTTTGAAAGAATTCATGATATATAAAAATTTGAACTAAAATGATTAATTAGAATTTATTCTAAAGAATGCATAAGAATTATCATTATGCATTTAGGTGTTTATTTAGCGATTTCTTAACTACTTAAAAAATAAGTTTGAAAAGTGTAAAGCTAAGAGTTAGAAGATAATTGAGGAGAATGATAATGCAAATACAGAAAATTCCCTAAATTATAAAATTATGAATCCATAGAGATAAGTGATTGTAAAAAATGATTTTCATATGATTTGTCAGGGATACTTCTTGTATAACTAAAGGTAAGATGGTTAAAAAATGCAGTAATTCTTGGCTAATATCTGTAATGTAAATTTTAAAAAATCTTGACTGTATCCCAGCATTATATTTAAATACAGATTAGGCCTTTTTAGAGAGTTTTTCTTCATAACTGATATGTCAGTGAAGAAAAATTTTGCTTTATAATTTATATAGTATTTTTATAGATTTTTCAGGCATTAATACAGAGTTAAATAGATTTAACTGTTGAATAAATATTTATTGAATACCTAAGGAGTGCATCATTCTAGTTTAGGTGCTGGGCACACACTACAAGATAGAGGTCTACCTTCATAGGGCTTACATTCTAGTAGAGAAGATAGTAAACAGACAGTTACAAAAAACTCAACGCATTTGTGTGTTTAAAAACTCTTCCATCAATGAAGATATATTAGTAAGTGGAAGTGGCTTGTTATTTTTATAAGGGGGAAAAAGCTGTTTAATTACCTAATACCTGCATGCAGTTCAACCTTACTAACACCAGAGGGTGATGCAGACTTCTGTAAACAAAAACAAAAACTAAAAAACCAAACTCAATGACTCAAGAACTTCAAGGGGGAAAATCATATTTTAGGTTCACCTTTAACATTTTAAAGCTAACAGCAAATATAGTTGTGAATTTCTCTGTTTTTCTTTTACTTAATGACAGAGTAGTAGTCAGATAGGTTTCCTTTAATTATTTAAAATAATTGTGTGACAACTTTATATGGTCAAGATCCTAATGGGTCAGTATAAGCGGCTTTATTTATTAGTCATTATAGATTATTGCATAGCAAGGGTCAGTGTCAATCATTAACTTAAAAAAATTGGAAGAAGTTGTTGAAGAGGGGAAATGGTAATAGAGCCAATCATTTTGAAGTAGAAAACAAGGCATGGTATTTTTTCATTTTGAATTTATGCTTGATACAAATTCAATTTGAGTTTAATTCTGTTTCTTCATTTCCTACTCTAAAGGACTCTTAAGGTGTAACTGATTGAAGCCTATAGTGTTTGAAAAGTGTGACAGATACTGATCAATTGCTGCAACTATAAAAATAGACTTTCCAAATAATTTAATATTATGTGTTAAGCAGGAATCTCTTGGAGTTATTAGAAAATATTTTAGTCATTTGTGTAAACATCTTTTGTTAGTGTTTTATTCTAATATTTGGTATAGGTGAAGTTACTAGTTTTTTTTCCTCAAAGTAGAACATTTGAGGCAAATTTTTGTTTTTATTTAGTGGGAAGTTGAACTTCACTATTAGGATTAATGATTAATCTCATCTCAATATTAAAGTTGGTATTTTGAAAGTGATAGTAATAGCTATCACTTTTAAGTACCTACTAGTGCCAGGTACTGTTCTAACTATATCTGTTATTTAATTCATTTACCTAGTGACAGTTTTGACTTTAAGTTTTAATAATATTCTGAAGATATATTATTACATAATGCTTTTTCTTGTGAGTAGGCAAGATTATTAGAGTCCTATATATATACTGAGACTACCTATGTAAGCAGTTGAATGAAAGGCCACGTATTGGACTCAGGAAGGAGTGCTATTTTTTTTTTATGGTTAGTAACCCTACTCTGTTTCCTTGACACCATACATTGTACCCTCCTCTGTCGAACCTCACCATGTCTGTATCTGTTACCAGATTTTACAATATACTGCTGTTTTACATTTACTATTAGTTTTAGCCAGTTTTACGTTTTGCCAGCCAGCACAAGAATGTGCCCTTTTTAAAATAGGTACATTTTTATACAAGTTTATCATTATTATTATTACGTTTATTGGGGTGATCCTGGTTAACAGGATCATATAGGTTTCAAGTGTATCTTTCTGTGGTATATGATCTGTATACTGCATCGTCGGCTCACCACCCACAGTATTTGGCTCCCTTTACCCCTCCCACTTCCCCACCCCCTCCCTCTGGTAGCCACTCTACTGTTTTCTGTGTCTACGAGTTTCTGTTTTATATCCTACATATGAGTGAAATCATATGGTTCTTAGCTTTTTCTGATTGACTTATTTTGCTTAGCATAATACTCTTAAAGTCCATCCGTGTTGTTGCAAATGGCAGCATTTCATCTTTTCTTGTGGCTGAGTAGTGTTCCACTGTGTATATGTACTACATCTTTCTTCTTGATCCAATCCTCTATTGAAGGACACTGGTCATTTCTATGTCTTGGGCACTGTGAATAATGCTGCAATGAATATAGGGGAACATATATCTTTGTGAAGAAATGTTTCCAATTTTTTCAGGTACATACCCAGAAGAGGGGTTATTGGGTCATTTAGTAAGTCTATTCTTAATTTTTGAGGAATGCCATGCTGTTTTCCATAGTGGCTGTACCAGTTTACATTCCCATCTGCAGTGAATGAGGGTTTCTTTTTCTCCACAACCTCTCCAGCACTTGTTACTACCTGTCTTATTTATTGTAGCCATTCTAACAGATGTGAGGTGGCATCTCATTGCAGTTTTACTTGTTTTCCCAAACAGCTAGTGAAGTTGAATGTTTTTTCATATACCTGTTGACCATTTGTATATTTTCTTGGGAGAAGTGTCTGTTCAGGTCCTCTGCCAATTTTTTTTAAGTTGGATTGTTTGTTTGACATTGAGTTGTATAAATTCTTTATATATTTTGGATATTAACCCTTTGTTGGAGTTGTTCTTTGCAAATGTCATCTCCCATTAAATTTGTTGCCTTTTTGTTTTGTTGTTGGTTTCTTTTGCTGTGCAGAGTATATTTTAGTTTGATACAGTCCCGTTCATTTATTTTTGTCTTCACTTCCCTAGCCTTTGGGGTCAAATTTATAAAGTGTTTTCTCCAAGCCAGGTCCATAAGTTTAGTATCTATATTTTCCTTTATGTCATTTATTGTTTCAGATCTTATATTTAGGTCTTTGATCCATTTTGAATTCAATTTTGTACATGGGGACAAACTATAGTCTATTTTAATTCTTTTGTATGTGGCTTTCTAATTTTATTGAAGAGACTTTTTTCGTTTTTCCATTCTGTGTTTTTGGCTTCTTTCTCAAAAATTACTTGCCCATATACATCCTACACAAGTTTCTGAATGATTTATTTTCTAAGTTTTTGTACTACATGAAAAGTGATTCATCTCTATTCTATTTTTTGTAAGAATTTTTTATGCAAATCTTTTGTTTTATTTCCATAGGACCGGATTTTAAAATTCTATGCACAGACATTCACCCTTTCACCATTACATCTGACAAAGGAAATTTATACAAGCATAGGTATGTTTGTTAGTCATTTAATTTTTTTCCTTTAATTTGTATTTAAGAAAAATAGATCAGAAACAACTTCTTTTTTGTCAGAAAGCACTGTAACTGAATGGTATACTAGTATATATTTTTTTACTTTCAGCTAAATATTTGGAGATATACTTTCTTTCTAGAGAAAATCACATTCCTCCTCTTTCAGCTGGCATAGATATAACTAGTCCCAATGTGATCCGCTTACTTAAAAAGGTATTCATTTACTCTGATATGCTTTTATTTTTATTCAAGTAGTTGCATATTTAAGAATTCTAATTTTTTGAGAACTGTTACATACTGCTTTCTAGGTTCGTCTTCTAAATGAATATCAAAAGGAGGCTCCATCTTTCTGGATCCGCCACCCTGAGAAGTAAGTCCCCTAACTGATGCCAACATAAAATGTAGAAGTGTTACTGTCCCACATACATTCTGAACAGAAAGAATGGAGAGTGTCTTAATTGATTTATGTGATTAGGAAGGAATTAATAAAGCTATTTTTTAGCCTTTCATGTTTTGTACTTAGCCTTTTGAATGGCTCTATGCAGGTATCATTTTATATCATTTATTTATCACCATAAGGTAAAAAGAGGGTGTTGTAACTTCTAATTCTTTCATTATGGGTCTTTACTACTTTGGATAAGTTCTTTAAGTGTTCTTTAAATTTTTTCCTTTTAATTCTAAAATTTTTAATAAGGCTCTAAGAGCAACTGTGAGTCTAAAAAGGAAAGTTAAATTTGAAAAGCCAGTGTTAAAATAGAAAGAAGTTTTTAAAGCAGAAAAGCCATTTACTGAAATATGAAAAAGTAGTTTCTAAAGGTTACTTAACACTATCATTTCATGAATAAAAATGTATCACCAGTTATACATATAAATATGTTTAGGTGTGTGTGTGTGTATGCATATACATGTGTAAGTGTATTTAGCATTTGTTTTTTCTTTCCCAAACTTTAAGGTATATGGAAGAAATTGTGGAGAGTACTTTGTCCTTATTATCACTTAAACATGATCAAAGTCATCTTGTCTCACAAAAGGTTTTGCATCCCATCTACTTTCTTGTATTGGTTGATACCAAGGCTGTGTGGTTCAAAAAGTGGATGGTAAGAAAAAATAAAATAAGTTTTTATAGTTTTTAGTACATGGGTGTATTTCAAGGAACAGATGATGTTTGAGTGTTTGCTATGTACTGAGTTATAATCTCTTTTATATGTGTTAACTTTTTTTGTGATTAGTGTTTTTTTAAAATTTTTGTTGTTGTTCAAATAGAGTTGTCTCCATTTTTCCCCTACTACTCCCTGCTACCCCAGCCATACCCACCTCCCACCCTTGATCCTATCCCCCTTTGGCTTTGTCCATGTGTCCTTTATAGTTGTTCCTTGATGACCCTTCTCCCTTTTCTCCCCATTATCCCCTCCCAACTCCCCACTCAGGTTACTGTCAGTTTGTTCTTAATTTTAGTGTCTCTGGTTATATTTTGCTTGCTTGTTTGTTTTGTTGATTAGGTTCCACTTATAGGTGAGATCATACGGTATTTGTCTTTCACTGCCTGGCTTATTTCACTTAGCATAATGCTCTCCAGTTCCATCCATGCTGTCGCAAAGGTTAGGAGCTCATTCTTTCTTTCTGCTGCATAGAATTCTATTGTGGAAATGTACCACAGTTTTGTGATCCACTCATTTACCGATGGGCACTTAGGTTACTTCCAGCATTTGGCTATTGTAAATTGTGCTGTTATGAACATTGGGGTGCATAGGTTCTTTTGAATTAGCATTTCAGGATTCTTGGAGTATAGTCCCAGCAATGGAATTGCTAGGTTAAAGGGCAGTTTCATCTTTAGTTTTCTGAGGAAATTCCATACTGTTTTCCACAGTGGCTGTACCAGTCTGCATTCCAACCAACAGTGTACAAGGGTTACCTTTTTTCCACAACCATGCCAGCACTTACTGTTTGTTAATTTGATTATGATGAACATTCTGACCAGTGTAGTAGCTCATTGTAGTTTTAATTTGCATCTCACCAATCGCTAGTGATGTTGAGCATCTTTTCATATGTCTCTCAGCCCTCTGTATGTCCTCCTTGGACAAGTGTTTGTTCAGGTTCTTCAATTTTTATAACAGTGTATGAGATAGGTGGTATTATTATTCCATTTAACAGATACAGCAACTGAAGCATAGAGAAGCTAAATGACTTGTTCAGGATTGTTTATCTGGTAAGCCACTGAACCAAAATAGGGTTATAAATTATAATTCATTTGAATCTATTAAGCTGAATGACCTAGCCATAACTTGTCATCTTTAGTTTAAAAACTTCAAATTTTTAAAGCAGGTATGGTAAAAGTATGGGTTCAATGAGCATTTTTCTCTGGCTTATGTGATATCTCCAAAAATATTCCTTGACTAGCCTTTTCCTGAACCTGCAGTTTGAGAAATGTGTTTAATGCCTGAATGCTGGTGATTTCCTACAGAGCTCATTACTGTCCTCAAACCAAAATTAATATTGGAGTAAAGAGATCCTTACACAGTTTCCTCCCTCATTGGCTATTGAATACAAGTAGCCTATGTCTGGCAGTAGTCGCATTGGTGTTGGCTCATGTTCTCATGTCTTTGTCCCTTTCAGCCTGTCTGCTGAGCATTGTGTATTTGTGGGGAAGAGAGGGGCCACACCCATGACTTGGCCATGCAAAGCAGCAATACATTCATTTATTGCTTAGCATAATTTGGACATTATCTAGATCATGACTTTTTTTTTGCCTTGTGTTATCTAAACTGTATAGTAATGCTCAATTAACCAAAAACACAGTTCTGTCTAGTGCCTAGCCCTTACCTAGCCTATCTAGTATGTGTTGATGAATATTTGCTCAATTCAGTTAACTTGAACCTTTTGTTTCTCACATGAGTCTGGCCTTTTCCTTAATTTTTCAAATTACAACATTATTGTAGAAAATATGCAAAATATGTAAAACCACAAATAAAATAAAATTGATCTAAGTTTATAACACAAGGTTAACAACTATTAAAATATTGATGTATATAGTTATTTACTATATATACTTTTAAATTTACATGTTTAGGTTTTTTGTAACAAAAATAATGTTTTACTGTTTATAACTTTTTCACTTAACATTTATATGGTCAGTACTTGATTCTTAAGAGAAAAAGAAAAATCACAGGAAATAACCAATGGAAAATTACTGAAAATCAGCTCTCCAGGTGTGTTCTAGTATTGATGAAAATTCGTCAAATTCTCCTATACCCTCTTAGGCAGTAGTTGCCTTATGTAAAGAGTTAGATAGTAAATATTTTTAGCTCTGTAAGCTGTACTGTCTGTGTTGCACCTACTCAACTCTCTGTATTGGCCCCAAACATCCATAGATAATATATAAATGAATGGGTGTGACTGTGTTCCAATAAAACTTTATTTACCAAATCACATGGCAGCTGAATTTGGCCTGAGAGCTATAACTTGGTTACTGTGGTCCGAAGGATGTACTATGAAGTTTTTTTTTCAGAACATGCTTACTAATTTAGTTGTAGGTCAACATATTTCTCTTATAAACCTGAAAGTTATTAATGATTTTGAAAACATTTTAAGCCGTGAGAGTTAAAACATACAGGATTTGATTAACCCTCAATCAACTAAAACTCCATTTAGTTAAATTCTATTCCCCCAGAATTCTGATAGATTTTACTGAATAGTATTCTGTTTACTAATTTTTATTCTCAAGTAAAATGAAGAAACTACACTGAACACCAATGATATGTAATATAAATTGAGTTAAGTAATATTTACATGTATTTTCCCCTTGCTTTGTCCAGTGGCTGAGAATCATGTTTTAATCACATCTATATTTAGCTCTAAGAGAATGAAAGATTCCTGGTACTTGGAATCCTTTAAAAAATATGATTGGCAGAGCATGATTATGATACTGACCCTTCAGAGCATTTCTCCATTGTCTATTTTTGGCATATGTAGACAGTACAGTATCCTCTGCAGTGCAAGGGTTGTGATTTCCACCCCCACACCTACGTTGGTATTCATTGTTAGGCTCTGTCACACACTGGTAGTCTGATTTTTTTGATAGTAGTTTTAAAATAGTTTAGAATGGAGACTGGTCACAGTTGAGAGATAGAATGTTTTTCTATTGCTCAGTCAGTAAATCCACAGTTTTTTAATATAATTTGAATTCTTGTGATTGCTATGCCCATAATCTATTATACATAGAAAAACCTGTTTGGCATGATTACAATAATTTAAAACTAAGTTACTGTGTAATTTATGATAATATTAGAAGTGATGTAGGAAAAACAGATTTTGAATAGTATAGCATGAATATTAAATACCATTTTTCCTCTTAATTTTAGCATGGATATTATAGCAGAACTGTTGTACTAAGACTTCTTGAAAAGAAATATAAATCTCTGGTAAGTCTATATTTCTCTTCTTTTGTTGAGATACAATATACAAAAATATATGATATTATAACTTGAAAGATGAGTGATAATTATTGGATAATGAAGGAGTCCCCCTTTTATGTGATTTTCAAACCACCGTTCTCTGAAACATAAAAGGATAAAAGTAGAGTCTTCAAATACAGTCAGGATAACAATGAGGAAATACATAGCTGCGTAGTAATTTTGGCTGCTAACAAGCTAGTTTGAGATATAAACCACATTTTAAAGTATTATCATGTAATGTAATCCATATCAGTTATTTGTAAGGGAGTGAATTCTATAAAATATACTCATGCTATTGACTTAAAGTTGAATGAAAAAACTCAGAATGATATATGCTTTTGCATTTGTAAAAATTGATCCAAGTCATACCAACTAGAAACTAGTACTGTAAAATATAGTAGCATAATTTTTTACATTTATTGCTGTTAGTAGAACAATATGTAAAGACAGTTGAAAGAAATGAAAAGAAATCAGCAATTTGAATAATTGTGACAAACATGAAAAATTTGAAATTTATTAAAATATTTAACAAATTATACTAATAGGACTTTGAGATGATAAATATGATTTATATAGTTAGAATCTTGAGTTTAGAAGTCAGGTGAAGGGAAAGATTCATGGAATTGTGAAATTTTGAGTGAACGTAGTAGAGCATAAAATGAAGGAGAGCAGTAATTTTTTTGTGTTTGAGAATCAAAAGAATTGAGCTTCAGAAACAAGAAGAGGTGTATTGAAAAAAAATGGAATTTATTTGTAGAGGTAATAGGTGGTTAAAAATCTTTAGACAAACTCAATTGAAATAACATCTTTCCATATCTCATTTTGTTTTAAGAATTAATGATCAGATTTTGTACTTATACAGTGGAGACATTGAACCATTGTTTTTTTTTTTGTTCTAAAAGAGATCCTCTCATAAGGCCTTTAGTTAGAGTAGCCTATTCAGCATGGTGACCTGCTACAGCATTTCTTCTAGCTTCTCTTCAGTGCTGTTGACAACATTTTCTGCATCAGTGGGATGTCTGCCTTGCCCAATAGGGGAGCTGCCAGCTATGTCTGTCTTTTGAAAACTTGAAATGTGATTAGGGAAACTGAGAAACTGCATTTTTCATTTTCTTTAATTTCACTTTATAACTAATATCTGGTTTGTGGCTACTCTGTGTGATTCTATTTGTTAGAGTTATGACATTTATGACATTTTCCATGGGTAGCTATAGGCAACAGATAATTTATGTGTACATGCTGTCATTTTTTAAAAGAGGTATCTGAGAAAGTTGAGAATTTTATTTCCATAGTATTGCAGTCATGAACTAGTTGGAAAGCACTTTGGCTATCAGCATAAATATTTAACCTTTTATTTTTAACAACTTGAATCCTTGCCCATCAACTCTTAAGGGAATGACTCCTGAAATGGCTTTATGTAATACACTTTCTATTCTTCTTGCTGTCACAAAGTCATTTAAAAATATTGACAGTAATGTTATTCAGATTCTCAGTTTGTTTCTTTTTTCTATCATAGGTTCTTTCTACAACAGTATATTTTTAATACCACCCTCTACCCTCTCATCTTGGTACATATTGGTAGTGCAGGAGAATAAGTATCAGATTTGATCCTGAATTTAACAGCAAATTTTGATCTTCCTGAGGTTTAGAACAATCATTCTTCATACCTTCAATTGGACTCTAGACTAATGCCTAAATTTACCAACTTTAGATCTGCTTTCTGCTCCTGTGTTTTAAAGGGATGTTATATGATGTGATTGTTTCTCCACTGAGATTGTACCTTTTTCTGTGATTGTTACCTATTCTCAAATAAAATGTGACACACTTAAGAAGTTAGGGGAAGAGTACCAGGAACAGAAGTGGGTGTAAGTGAGTTGTGAAGGTAAAGCTAGGTAGAAATGGGTGCAAGGGGGATGGGCTTCTGAAGGTTTGAATGGAAATGAACTTGAGTCTTTGAGAAAGATTATTTTGGAGAGAGTGTTTTGAGTTCTCAGTTAAAGAAGCTAACTATTCTTTGCTCCTTTGTCTTATTCTTTAGAACTTCTTTTACTTATTTTTCTATAGTGGCAGTTGTTATTCTAAATCATATTTGTTGTTACTTTTTAACAAGGTGTGTGTAAGAATTAGGATTGCAAGAGTCAGTTTATCTAGAAAGAGGGAGTTCCATCAGGAGGAGACTACATCTTTGACTTGGAGAAACTCATGACAAACAAGATCAGGTCACTATACTTTTGGGCAAGAGTGGGTGCTCATAAATGTTGTGTCAGTTCTGACCAAGCCAAAGCTTGGAAGGGGCTGTGTGATCAGTGACATGCCAACCACTGACTTGCCTCTTTCATGAATTGACAAGCCAGGGAATGTCCTCACAAAATTTTTGTAGGAGTCCCAAGGTAATTCGACCAGTTGCTTTTGCACAATATTTTTTTCTGGTGAAATCAGGGCTTTCTAGCATTGATTGACTGGGTTGCACTATGCCTCCTTCTGTTCTCTACTGGACACTCAGTAGATGCAAGATAAACCAGAAGTAGATGTAGGATAAAACAGGAAGCAAAAAAAGAAGTGAAGACTGTACTGATAGCAAAGCGAAACAAGTGGAGAATAAGAAAGTTAATGGCAAATTTTTTTACTCAATAGTGACCCTTCAAAATAAAAGGTTACTTTGTGCAAATTTGAACAACTTTTATTACAAATCTCAGGATAACAAATTTTGCAATGAAAGCTCAGTGAAGGAAGTTGGAGCTTAGGTTGTTAACACAGACTCACATGGTGGCAGATCTGAAGAAATATCAGTTTGGGACTCAAAAGGGTCAGGGCTGGTGAACAACTCTTCTTTGTATGAAGATCCCACTGAATGGTGCCAAGTCAGAGTCTTCAAGATAATCTTAGTGGGAGCTCCAGAATTTTCAAGGATTAAGACCATTTTTCAACATCCAAAACAGTGCATAAAGCTGGCTTTATTGCTTACTTAAGTTAGGCAGAGCATACTCTTAATCCTGTGTGGTTTGGGGAAAAGCCAAACTCAGGGAATTATGGGCTTTCAGAGGGGAGGGTGAGTTCAGCCAACTATAGAAGAGTGGCAACTCAGGTGAGATGGATGCTGACTGACTGGCTTTTACAAATATATTTCCTGGAGTGTGTCTGCTGCTGGCTGATTTTCAGAAGCAACGGGCTAACACTGATTGCTTAGCTTTTAGATGTAAGTTCTTTAAGATCTTTTGACATACGTTGATATACAAAAGTTTAAACTTGTTCTGCTGGATACCTGTTACCATGTTTGCATATGTTTCTCATTGATTTATTAAATAGATTAAAGTCATCTATAAAACAAATTACACTTTTCTGAAGATTGTGGGGAATTTTTTATTTTTAATGAATCGGTGTTACCCTGGAAAAGTAATGTGGGTGCTTTAGGAAGTGGTAGGAAAATATTTCAAAGAAATGTAATATCATGTTCAAAGCCCTAGTGATTGGAAAACACATAGTTCATATGGAAACTGCACATTTTAAATGACTGAACATATATATTGCTAAGAGATATGTGAATTGGTATTAGAGAAATTTCCTGAAAATTGGTTCTCTGAAAACTAATATTTAGTGGATGAAGGTTTTTGAAACATTGTTGGATGCTTTAAATTGGGTATATGTCAGTGGATTTCAGTTTGTTTCACTCATGCATGAGGCAGGGCATAATTCATAAAAATAGAAAATACCTTTTTTAAAGGAAATCCCCAGCCCCTTTGCTTTTGCAAATGGCAGTGTGGAGTTTGATGTAAATGTCAGTTTTGAGGGTGTTTAAAATCTAATTGGTGTGTATTGACTGATGAAATTTTTTAGTGAATTTGCTTTCGATGAGTTGGTCATTTGACTGGTTGTGTGATAAATTGGGTTTTGGTGACTGATTTTTACACAGGTAGATGTATTCCTGTATTTGTTTGTGCCTGTGTTTGTGGTTAGGGCAGGGGCTGTCTGGAGGATGAGACTGTACATCATCAAATTTAGGAGACTGGCATTTATTCTGGAGGTGTGGTAAGCCACTGATAGGTTTCTGAGTACTGAAGTAACATCATATTAAGGCTTTATAATATTTGGAAAATGGGTTTAAGGTGCTAGGTGGAGATAGGAGAGTAGCATTGAAGCAAAAAGATTAAGAGGCTTCTCAGTAATCCAAAGCCAAAAAATGATAGAGACATGAATTAGGGCTGTTGACAGAGTGAATTGGATAAATGCATGGACTTAGGAGTACCATATTTGGAATGTAGGATTTAGAGAACTTGGCCTTTTGAATGGGAGCGGGGAGATGAGTGAGTTACTTATCGAAATTCGAGACTCTGTCAGTAGGAGAAAAATGGGAGAATTGGGAAAATGGCTTTGGGCTTGGTAGATGTGACCATATCTAGTGTGAGATTCAGACTTTTAGGAGGCAATTTTACAGTATCGATTTGAATCTCTAAAGTTTTATTTAGATGAGATGTACAGGTATAGAACAGGGTCACCAAGACCACCTCCAGATTTGATAATTTCCTGGAGGACTCATAAGACTCAGCATATAGTCATAATCCCATCTATGATTTATAACAGAAAGAGGATACAAAACAAAATTGGCATAGGGAAAAGGCACATTTAGTGAAGTCTGGAAGACACCAAGTATAAGCTTCCCAGTCTTTTTCCAAATATCAAATCGTGACAGCTCTTGTGAAATGTAGTCTACCGAAGAAGCTCATTAAAGACTGCCCATTTTTTAAAACTGGGCATTGGTTATGTAGACATCCTCTACCTAGCACATACCAGGACTTATAGGCTGCAAATTTTTATGATTAACAAGTTGTTATTTTATTAGATAACTACAGCAGTTCAGCAGTGTGTTCAGTACTTTGAGTTATGTGAGACCATGAAAGCCGATGAGACTGTGGGACATTCAAAGCATTGTGGTAAGTATGGTTTTCTCTGTTATATACTTAAAACAATGGTACAGTTTATTAACAAAAATAGCTTAGTAGTAACTTATTTTTTAATAGTTAGTAGCATGGTAAAGTGCATCATTTTGCTAATGTAAAATATTTTCACAAATTTAAAATATATGCCATAATTATAGCTTTTTATTTTTTCTTATTTTCCCCACAAAAATTTGGGCCAAATAGTGCACATTGTACATGGCAAAATAAGGGTGTCTCTTTGTACGTCTAAATCCCCTCACCTCTTCACCCATTCCCCCAAACCTTCCTCCCATTGGGCAATCATCAAAATGCTCTCTGTATCCATGATTCTGTCCCTGTTCTTCTTGTTTGCTTAGCTTGTTTTTTAGATTCAATTGTTGACACATATGCATTTATTGCCATTTTATTATTCATAGTTTTGATCTTACTTTTTTTCTTAAATAAGTCCCTATAACATTTTATATAATAATTGTTTGGTGATGTTTTTCCTTTAGTTTTTTTCTTGTCTGAAAAGCTCTTTATCTACCCTTTGATCCTAAATGATAGCTTTGCTGAGTAGTGCAATCTTGGTTGTAGGTCCCTGCTGTTTATGACTTTGAGTATTTCTTGCCAATCCCTTCTTGCCGGCAAAGTTACCTTTGAGAAATCACCTGACAGTCTTAGGGGAGCTTGCCTGTAGGTAACTAACTTCTTTTCTCTTGCTTCTCTTAAGATTTTCTCTTTATCTTTAACCTTTGGCATTTTAATTATAATGAGTCCTGGAGTGGGCCTCTTGGCATCCATCTTGTTTGGGATTCCCTGTGCTTCCTGGACTTGTGAGTCTATTTCCTTCACTATATTAGGGAAGCTATCTTTCATTATTTCTTCAAATAAATATCCAATTTCTTGCTCTTCCTCTTTTCCTTCAGGCACCCATATGATGTGAATAATGGAATGCTTGAAGTTGTCCCAGAGGCTGCTTACTCTATCCTTGTTGTTTTGAATTATTTTCTCCTTGTTCTGATTGGTTTTTTTTTTTTCCTTCCTTATTTTCCAAAGCATTGATTTGATTTCCGGCTTCATCTACTCTACTGTTGTTTCCCTGTAAACTGTCTTTATTTCAGTTAGTATATCCTTTGTTTCTGACTAGATCTTTTTTATGCTGTTGAGGTCCTCACTGAGTTCCTTGAGCACCCTTATAAACAGTGTTTTTAACTCTGCATCTGATAGATTGCTTATCTCCATTTTGTTTAGTTATTTTTCTGGAGTTTTGATCTGTTCTTTCATTTGGGTCTTATTTCTTTGTTTCTTCATTTTGGCAGCCTCCCTGTGTTTCTGTGTGTTAGGTAAAGCTGTTATGACTCCCTTTTTTGGCAGCGTGGCCTAGTGTAGTAAGTGTCCTGTAGGGTCCAGTGATACAGCTGCCCCATTCACCCAAGCTGGATGCTCAAGGTACTTCCTTATTTGGGCTGAGTATACCCTCCTCTTGTAGTTGAGCTTTGGTTGCTGTTGGCAGGTTAGTGGGAGGGATTTTCCCAGACTAGCCAGCTTAAAGGACTGGCTGTGACCACTGACCATCCACCCTATGTGGATGATCACCTGTGCAGGGGCAGGGTGGTGGTGCTCTGACCTCACCTGTAGTTGTCCATGGGGTGCTCAGACTGTGTGGTTTCCTGGGTGGTTCAGGTCAAGGTCATTTCCCACCTTGGTCTTGCGCAAGGCCACCCTGCATGAGCTGTAAAGCAATCTGAGGTGGCTGCTACGTGTGTTGGGCTTGGAGATTCTGAGGCGAAGCCAAGCTGTGTATCTAGGCTGGCTGCTGCTAGTGCCATGCCTAATTATTGATTGAAATGAATCTTCTTTTACAGTCAAGATTCTTTTTTTATGTCAGTGCCTATACACCTTTATTATTTGTATACCTACTGCACCATCCATAATCCCTTACATCAACACATCTTATTTATTGTGAAGGAATAAACTTTGTTTTTCAATTTCTCACAAAGGATTTTCTTCGTAGTCGGGATTTTTTCTTACATCACACAACTTTTCATGTGAATTAGGTATTTGTCATTCTATTATTTTATTTGTCAGTTCTCTAAGTAAATATTAAGTTCTCTGTGAGTGTGAAGATAACCTTATTTTTTTTATCCTTGGGTAAATCTTTATCTACCTCGAGCAAGAAAAATGGTTAAACACTGACAGTTAACGGGTTTCAAATGTCAGAGTTTCATAGTGCAGGACAAATTACAGGAGCCAGAATTCATTCTTCAGGAGGAAGAAAAAGACAAAAAGGAAAAGGGTAGATAAGTTTATATACACGTCTTACTTCTAAATTTATAGATTTTTCTAGTTTTTTGATATTAAAATGTTTCTATATAGCACTTTCTTCCCCCTACAACTCTACCAGCCTCTAATGGATTTTCTTTCTTCCCTTTCCTCTCAGGGTGCTTCACTGCATTCTTCTGCCATGTCTTTCAGGATTTTTGCTCTTTTTTTCTTTCAGTTTTCCTGCCTTCAGTTTTTTAACTTTAGGTTTAAGCTTCCATCTTCTCTAGCCCTTAGGAAATTGAGCAGAGAGCACTTGTGACATAAATTGATAGTGTACATATATTTTCCTAACCTCAGCTGCTCTTTGTGTTGCTTTGGGATCCTTTGAGATATTTTCTTCAGTGTTTCATAATATCGATTGTGCGCCTTCACCGGTCTCTTCAAGACCCTTGCCTTGCCCCTGCCCACTTTTCTCTCAAGAGAAGACCTTGCATGCTATTTCACTAAGAAAAATGGAATGTTCCAGATGTGAATTCCCCAAACGCCCTGCTTCTCTGTATACATATTCATGTTTATATGCCTTTTTTAATACCGCCTTTCTCTGGGCTACAATGAAGGGGTGTCCTTCTGTTCCAGGTTGATCTCTTTCTCTGTTCTTGATTCTGTTCCCCATCTGCTGGTCTTTGCTTTCGTTTTAAAACTGGGACGTTGATTTACTTGCTACTATATCTCCCTTTCTCTTGGTATCTTCCCCTGTATCCTCTAACGCTATTTATATTTCTTTCATATAAATAACTGAGCAAGTTCACATGTACCTTACCTTTCTGCTTCCTTTCAGAGAAAATTCTTCTAAGTATTCATTATATACCCAGGCCCCATTTCTTCACCTGTTATTCACTTTTTTTTTTTCTTATTCACTTTTTAGCCACAGAAATGAGGCTTCTATTTCTGGTGCTCCATGACCTTCCCATTATCAACTCCCCCCACTTCTTGTCCTTGTTCTGCAACATTAGGCTCTGGTGACCCTTTTGCTCCTCTTCCTGGTGCCATTCTTTCTTGGATTTCCTCATTCTTACCCAACAAATTCTTAGTCACTGAAAAGGTTCTTTTCTATATATGTTTGTACTCACAAAAGTTTTGCCCTTTGTTCTTTTCTCACCTTAGTCTACCTGTTCTTCTTTGGGGGAGTCATTCACTCTCAAGATTTCAAATATTATATATTTATGTGTATTTTGTGACTCTGAAATATTTAAGTCTGCACTCCTTTCTTCAATTCTAGAGTCATGTATCCATTATGTTTAGTGTAACTGTCTGGATGTTCCATGGGCATTTCAATATTATAATGGTAAGGACTGAATTTACTTTCTTCTCTTTCTGGAACTTTTTTAAAACTCTCTTTAGAATTATTTAAATAGGAGAAAGACACTATGTACACAGATACTTGAGTTAGGAACCTGGGAATTTTCTTTTCTTTCATGTTTCACATGCAGTTCTCTCTAATGCATATTGATTTTATTTTTTTAACGTTTATTTTTATCTATTTGCTCTTCATTCTTTTTGCTGATGCTTTTATTCATGATTTTTTTTGATAAGTCTTGTTTCAAGCCTTAACCTTCTTCCATTCACCTTTTATGCTGACATCAGTGTCAGTTTTTCACATGCATATTTGATTGTTACTTTTTTGCTTAAAACCCTTTAATATCACTCCAATTGCCTCTATAATAGGGCGTATATTGCTTCTGCAGTTAAGTCTTCTGTGTTCTGTCTTGATACCTGCTAGACTCTTTTCTGTCCCTCTTGTCTTTCTTATTATGTGGCTATACAAGACTATTTGCTGTACTCTGAATTGGAAGCCCAGTTTCTTGCTTCTTTTTTGAAGGCGTATTTTATGGATTGTGCTATTACAGTTGTCCCAATTTTTCCCCTTTGTCCCTCTTCACTCAGTACCCCCCTTCCCTCCAATAATCCCCCACCCCTAAGTTCATGTCCGTGTGTCGTTCATAGAGGTTCTTTGGCTTCTCCATTCCTATACTATTCTTAACATCCCCCTGTCTATTTTTATACCTATCAATAATGCTTCTTAGCACCTGTATTTTTCTCCAATTCTCTCCCTTCTCTTTACCCACTGTAACCCTCCATATGATCTCCATATTTATGATTTTTGTTCCTGTTCTAGTTGTTTACTTAGATTTTTTAGATTCAGTTGTTGATAGTTGTGAGTTTGTTGTTATTTTACTCTTCATATTTTTGACCATCTTCTTTTTCTTAGATAAGTCCCTTTAATGTTTCATATAATAAGGGCTTAATGATGATGAACTCCTTCAACTTCACCTTGTCTGTGAAACATTTTATCTACCCTTCCATTGTAAATGATAGCTTTGCTGGATAGAGTAATCTTGGATGTAGGACCTTGCTTTCCATGACTTTGAATACTTCTTTCCAGCCCCTTCTTTCCTATAAAATTTCTTTTGAAAACTCAGCTGATAGTCTGATGGGAATTCCTTTGTAGGTAACTCTTCTTTTCTCTTGCTGCTTTTAAGATTCTCACCTTATCTTTAATCTTTGGCAATTTAATTATGATGTGTCTCGGTGTGTTCTTCTTTGGGTCCAACTTCTTTGGGACTCTCTGAGCTTTCTGAACTGGTATGTCTATTTCCTTTGCCAGATTGGGGAAGTTATCTTTCATTGTTTTTTCAGATAAGTTTTCAGTTTCTTGCTCTTCCTTTCTCCTTCTGGAATCCCTGTCATTTAGATGTTGGCACTTTTGAAGATGTCCCAGAGTCTTCTTATTCTCTCCTTGTTTTTTTGAATTCTTGCTTCTTCATTCTGTACTGGTTGACTGTTTATTTCTTCCTTATGTTCCAAATAGTTGACCTGAACCCCAGCTTTCTTCCCTTCACTGTTGGTTCCCTGTGGATTTTTCTTTATGTCACTTAGTGTAGCCTTCATTCCTTCCCTTATACATTTGCCACACTCAATGAGTTCTCTAAGCATCCTTATCACCAGTGTTTTAAACTCTGAATCTGATAGGTTGGCTATCTCCATTTCACTTAGTTCTTTTTCTGGAATTTTGATTGTTCTTTCATTGCCATATTTCTTTGTCTCCTTAATTTGACAGCCTCCTTGTGTTTGTTTCTGTGTATTAGGTAGAGTTGTTTTGACTCCCTGTCTTGGCACACCTATTACATTGTAAGGGGTGGAGCCTTAGACATTCATCAGGATAGGGGAACCCGCTTTATTGCTTTGTGGTTCTGTATGTGGGGGAGGGGTTGGAGAGGGAACGATGCTGCTTGCTCAGCACTTGCCCCATTTTCAGTGACTTCACCCACTTACTGTATGTACCCTTCTCACTGTTGCTCTGTGGTGGTTCCCAGAGTGGGTGGGTTTGCATATGTTTTAGGACCTGAGAGACGGACAGTTTATTCCACTGCCCCAGCTGCCTGTGTTTTTTACAACCAGAAGTTATGAGGCTGTGTTTTCCCATGCTGGGACCTTGTGCTGCACAGTCTGGCCTGGGGTTGGGATCACTTGCTCCCCAGGTGTCCCTCTCAGTTTCTCTCTGACACATGTGAATGTAGGATAGCCTGTTCCATCAGCCCCCCTGTCATTGCCTTGCTGCTGCCACCCATCCACCACCACACCTCATTCTCTTCCCCGGACCCCCATCTCTGCTCCTGTTACCTGACTTGATGAATATTTCTTCTTTAAATCCTTGGTTGTAAGACTTCCATACAGTTAGATTTTCTGGCAGTTCTGGTTGTTTTTTGTTTTGAGGTTAGTTGTGATCCTTCTTACGGCTGTGTGAGGAGACAAAGCATGTCTATCTGTGCCTCCGTCTTGGCAGTCCAGTTTCTTGCTTCTTACTGGTTTTTGACACTGGTGAATCCTTCAAGATCTCATATGAAACAGATACTCATGAATGTATGGATGAATGAGTGAACAGATGATAAATATATTAGAAGGCTTATATAATTTTTTAGAGGTTCTCATTTCATTTGCTAACATGGTTATAAATATGGCCTTTTGTAGCATTGACTTTTAATTGGTATAATTAAACACTAATATTTTTTATTGATTTCCTCCCTCCCTTAACTTACTTTTGAGATGTTTTTTGATGAGAGATGATACCTCTGATAATCTTAGCATATTTTTTTTGAGAATGAACACTCTATGCATATTACAGTTTTATGATTTGGTTAAGTTTTATAATGAATGCTTTTCTCCAGAGAGTTAGGCATCAAAGAATCTTAGAAAACAGTAAGGAAAAAATTTTTAAAAATTTACACCAAGTGTCTATATTATAGACTGCAGACTTGTTTAATGTTTAGAAGGTAATCATGATGTGGACTATAAAATATAATGGCATTAAAATAAATGTAATTTTTTGTTTCTTTCTTAAGGGAACAAGCAGAAAACTTTCTATTACTCAGGGCAAGAATTACAATATATTTATTTCATCCACTCTCTGTGCCTTTTGGGAAGATTATTGATCTATACACAAGGAAGAAAGCTATTTCCCATAAAGCTGAAGAATAGAAAAGGTGTGTACAATCAGGATAAATGAGTATGTCCTGATATGGTAAGATTTGTGTACTATGGATTATTAGAAACTTGGAGATACTATATTGTCTCTTCTCTGGTACTTAGCAACTTACCTTTTAGTCTATTGATAGCTTGTACACCTTGTAGTGTTGTATTTTTATTCTTTTGCAGTGTGTGCTTTTCCCTTCCTGTGTAGTTTGTTTTTCTATTTATCCAGCCTTTCATGCTTACCTTATTTCTCTCTGCCTTTCAAAATCCTAGACATATGGAAGGCACTATCCAGATCTGGATTTAGAACTAGAAGATCTTTAAGTTCTGGTTCATTATAAACTAGTTGTGATCTTTTGCACTAATTACTTAACCCTAGTTTGTTTTCTTTATCTGTAAAAATGAATAATAATATCAGTGATGCTGGGCTCACAGAATTTTCGTGATGCACAAACATTAGGTTTGAGAATACTGTTTTATAAACTGCAAAGCCCTGCACTATTTAATATTTTTCTGTGTTATTGTTACCCTAAGACTCATTTTAAGTTTTCCCCGTCAAACTTCAGTACATGCTATTCATTGTTTTCTTTAACTCTCTTAAAATTTAAATCTGTAGGAGGAATATAGTATAAAGGTCAGCATTTTCTATAATGTGCCAGAGAGTAAATGTTTCAGGTTTTGTGGGCCACACGTCTCTGTTGTTTTCTCTGTTCTCTGTGTGTGTGTGTGTGTGTGTTTGTGTATACACGTACTCATGTGTGCAAAAAAGAGTTACCACAGCAAACCCGAGATTAGTATCCTTAGAAAGACTTCTTGCAAGTTTGGATCTTGGCCGGAGGCTAGGAACTTGAATATCTCCCTCTTCCTGGAAGTGGTACACCATTTGTGTACACAATGAGGTTTATGATGAATATCTACTTTCCTTCTGGGAGTCTGGAGTCCTGGTGTGTGCTAGGCAGAGAGTGCTTTCGTGATCAATCCCCGATATAAACCTTGGGTACTGAGTCTCTAATGAGCTTCCCTGGCAGACAACATTTTATATGTGTTGTCATAACTCGTTGCTAGAAGAATTGAGTGTATTTTGTGTGACTTCCCTGGGAAAGGACTCTTGGACCCTTGTACCTGGTTTGCTCTGGACTTCACCTTATGCACATTTTCCCTTTTGATTTTGCTTTGTATCCTTTTGTTGTAAAAAAAATCATAGCTGGGAGTACAATTATATTTTGAATCCTGTGAGACCTAGTAGTAAATTTTTGAATTTGGGAATGGTTTTGGGAACATCTGACACATTTTATGTGCCTTTAAAATTAAAAACAATTCTCAGCTTGTGAGACTTACAAAATTAAACCATAATGGCTATAGTTTGTGAAACCTGTTGAGTGTCTCCATTTTGAACACTTATTTTTACAGTTTCCTCATTGTTTTACTTATCTAAATCTTTTCTTCTGAGTTAGGCTAATTGTGAGCTCCTTGATAAAAGAATCTGTTTTGCATACTTCTCTTATATTTCCTATGGTAGTATAATTCTGTGTATAATGGGCACTCAGTAGAGAAATGACTTTCAAGAAAAGAACTGCCATTTAATAGGATTTTGTTAAACTTTTGTTAAACAAAAATAGATTGTTATATAGTTATGATGTTATTGTAGGAATTTAATGGAAGTTTATGTGTCTATCATCTGTCATTTATTTAGTGCTTTATATTGACTTTTAACAACTGCACTTTGGTCTATCAGGTATCATAGGTCATCTGTAAGCTCAGTTTTGAGAAATCTGTTTTACTGCATTAGCGTAGGTGCATGTTTACCTTTAAGTTTCACATATGCTCTCACCAGAATCTTCTTAGGTGAGGATTCTGTAGCAGAGGTTGGTGAACTACAATCAGTGGGTCTTATCTGGTACCCAGTTTTGTATGGCTTGTGAGCTAAGAATGGTTTTTATATTCTTAAATTATTGGAAAGAAGTAAACAAAGGGTATTTCATAATGTGAAAAATATATAAATACCAATTGTGGTATACATAAAGTCTTACTGGAAAATGACCACAGTTGTTCATTTGTATATTATCAATGGCTACTTTAATGCTACAACATCAGAATTATTTATGATAGAAACTGTTTGGTCACAAAGCCTAAAATAGTTACTTGCTGGTTCAGAAAATTTTTTCTGACTTCAGTTCTACCTTGCTATATATAGGTAAGTTAGCTGGACCAACATATTAAGCTGAATTGTATTGCTACTGATTGAATAAAATAAAACAATCTTGATCAGATTCATAGATCTTCCTATGGTACATGTGCATTAACTGATTGGTCCAACATAAATGGTAAAACCGCACCATCACAAAAGCAACTACTGCACTATTTGCTGCCTTTTAATTTACTATGTCTAATTTGTTCTTCTGTCATCTTCTTTCTTGGATTATAGTCTCCTTCTCCCTGATTTCACCACAATCTCTGTGAAAACTCAGATTAGGGGGATAGAAACTTAGTTAAAAATTTTTAAAATTTTAAGTGTATGTTAGAAAATAATTTTTTTTTCTATTTCTTTTTGAAGATTCATTATCCCTTACAGATCTTCTGGTTCTGTTTACCCAACTTATATATTACTCACCAAGTTGTCCAAAGATGACATCAGCTGCACATTTAGGTAATTATGCTTCTATTTCAAATAGAAATCATCTAATATATTTAAATATTTTATTGTCTAGATATTTTGAGTGATTGATCTAGTTTAGTTGAGAGGTTTCATAGGATGCAGTATTTTTCATAATAAAGTACATTGGTCCTGGCAGTAAACCATGGAATTTAAATTTGCTTATTGATGTTTCTAATCTATCTACTGCCTTTGCATTTAACATAGATTTTCCTTTCCATAAAGTTTAATGTTGTTATATATTAAGATCGAGATGTTCTTAAGAAATGCCATTAAGGGAAGTTCGATTGATAGGTACTGATGTATTCTTTTTTGATGTTTTATATCCTTTATATTTTCCTGGATGTTTTTATCACCTTGCTTTTTTCATTTCAAACTTAAAAACTTCAGGATCTTCTCATTTTACTAAAGACTAAAGCCAAAAATAAAACCCACTTCGTGTTTTTTAGTAAAATGACTGTTAGTGTTTAATATTTTTGAAGTATTTTAATATTAACAATTAAAAATGACATAATTTTTCTTTGAATATCAATGAAAGTTTGCAAAGTGAAACACTTTATCTAAGCACCCTCATACTCCATAGACTCATAGTGTCCTAGACTTGTAAGTTACTCTAGAAATACTGGCACAAATTCTGGGAGGAACTCAAGTGAATCATAGAAAAAAAGGTTTGGACCATATATTAGTGCCATAATAATGCATCTATTGATTAGTCAGTTATATGTATGCAGTTATAACAGCTTATTAGTCCTAACAATAGTTCTCAGACTTCTTTTTGCTTTTAAAGCATTTAGACATATAAATTACTAGGTTAGGTTTCCCTGGTCGATGCTCCTACAGCATACTGGGCTTCCTTCATGATAAAAATTTTTTTTTCTTTGTTATAATAGTTGTTAATGTCTTGGTTTACCAACTAGTGGGCTGTGTCTTGTCTTTTTCATTTCTGTCTACAGTGTTTAGCACAGTGTTAGCACATAGCAGGCACTCAAAAATAGTAGATAATTGGATAAATGAATGAATGGCCATATGCTCATCAATAATATCTCTTATTGCAAACAGAGTGTCTTATTTGGAGTTAGTTGAAAAAAATTACTTAACTTCCCTTTTCCACTTTCTTTCTGTCAGGTATTGACTTAAAGCCTTAGTGTGTTCATGGAGTTTTAAATGTTATAAATTTAGAATATTGGTGTTTTAGTATTGTATCTTTTGGGGGTAACTTTACATTGCTAACTTTTAGTTCCTTAGTTTTTTCATGTAAAACACTGTTTTCTTAGTATATTAGGTCAAATAATCTGAAAATACATTAATTTATGAAACTAAAAATATATTTTAATGGCAATTCCTCATGTTACAGTTATGTGTATTTGTGTTTCCCTTTATTTATTTTAAAAGAAACTTTTAAAAATTTTCATTCATTTCATTGGTTTCGTGGTAGTATAAGAAATAAACTAATCTAAAATAAAGTTTCTTCTCTCGTCTGCCTTCTTTTCAGCCATTATTTTGTCTTAATGACTAATTTTCTACCTGAATCAACACCTGAATACATTTAATATAATAATAATACTAATAGAGAAAGTAAGTCTTTGTGAGGAGGAGATAAGCTATAAATTTGCTTCTAACCCCATCATCACTGTCAAGCAACGATTTAATGTCAAACAGTGAATGAACTTATATTGTTGCCTTTTGGCATTCATATTTGTCATTTATTTACTTTTTATTAACTTGAAAATATGTTAAGCTAGTTGTTATCTCCTTAAGTTTTAGGTTATAAGTTGGTAATACATCATTCTTTAGGTCTTGAGTTGTGTGATTTTTAAACTATTTTACCTTGTGTTGAACTTTTTTGGAACAGCAATAGCTAACCCATAAATAACATGCATTAAGTACTTAATGTCTAAAGGTTAATGAAAAAAAATACTTGTTGCATTACAGAGAATTACTCTCCGGCAAGTATGGTGACTGAAGTTCTGCAGATACTCTGCGATCAAAAAGAATGTGCAGTCGAATGCTTATATAACAGCACTGTGGTTGAGGCACTTCTTCGGCCTATTCATAATTTAATGAAAGGAACTAAGGTTGGTTTTATTTACTAAAGAGAAAAAGTCCCACATTTGTGTATTAGTGAATATTCAGTGGGGCTATATTTCTAAATTTGACGTGTTTGAAATACGATTTTATTATACTATCTTTCCATATATGAATGTATTTTATGCTGACGTGGATTTTTATTTATTGTTAAATCATAGTTTGTGCAGTCAGTTGATTTATTCCTTATGACAATGTGGGAGAAAATAACATCTTAAAAATATTTTTTCTATTTGGCTTAGATCTGCTGATTGTAAAAACTAAGAAAAGTTATTCTATTAAGAAGCTATTTGTGTTGCAAATATAGTAAATCTTGTGAACATTTTGTTTTAATGGCGATTTTATAGCCTTGGGAAATGTGATTATTTTTCTGAAGAGCCAGCTTTGTTTTATATGAATAACTAGTATTACTTGAGGGAAAAAAGCTTATAAACATCGTGGTCTGAACATTTATATGTCTGTCTGCAGTTTGTACAGTATATTTCCTCACATGATATCATTTAATCCTCAAAACTGAGGCTCAAAGAAGAACTTGTTAAAGGTTGGATATTTAGCAGGTGGCAGAGTTGGTACCACTGCTAGGATTGTTGGCTTTAATATAGCCCTCCATTTTTGTGACTTAAGCTTCTCAGGAATGACTTAAAGCTTATCAATAAGTTAAATATTTTTGCCTTTCCATGTCTACATTATATAATGTCTTTACTGGTTTCATCTCCATCCTACACCTACCCCTCAATGTACTGGACAACTACCCACCTATCCATGTATTCATTATTCATTTCTCATTCAGAAAACATTAAGCATTTATGTGACTCTGGTACAAAGTATGCAATTCTGGAAGATAAAATGATATTAATAACCTTGGGAAAACAAAATAAACAGAGAAAAAAAAATAGAATACCTAACAGATATGTATATCTGAATATGTATATATGTGTGTGTATACATATACACACACACATATATATGAATGCCATAATATAAACAGGATTGTGAAATATTAACCACACACCAAAGCTGAGAAATGTGTTCTTATATCTTATACCATATTGTTTATTTTATGCCTTTGCTTTTCTATACCTTTAACTTTTTATTTTCTTTTGACATCTTTCCTTTGCTTATAAATATGTCTTGAATCTATCTTATAGTTGGGATAGGAGAAACTATTGAATATACTCATATGTAGCTACCTTTCACTATCTGATCTTTTTAATGATAAACTTTTAATTATGGAAGGCTGCCATTGTCTTGGCTTCCTCTCTTTCCAATCACTTTTCAAGTCATTGCATTATGATCTTTCCTCCCTCACATCAGGGAGCCACATGTGGCTTTGATTGTCGTTGCCCATAACTTCCTAAATATGTAGCTAGTGACCACTTTCGGATTGTTATTTACCTGATTGTTGACATGCTAGACAGCTTCTGAGATTATGTTAACCTGGCTTTCCTAGAATCATTCTATTTGCATGCCCATTCCCACTTCTTTTATGAAGATGCCATAAAAATTAATGCAGAAAAGATAGTTTTTTCAACAAATGATGCTGGAGTAATTGGACATCCATTGGTTAAAAAATAAACCTCAATCTAAACATCTTATGGTATATAAAATTAATTACAAGTGGACCATGTTTTTCCTTCCTTTCTTACCATTCTTCTTCTCACCTCTGAGTGCTCCCCTTCCAGGTCTTGACTGTCTTCTGTGATTCAGGACCCGGTTCATTCTCTTTTTTCTCAGTACACTTTTCCCAGTTGATCTTTTCTAGTCCAGTGGATTAGATTTATAGTTCACTACTAAATTTCTGTCTCTTCAGCTCCAAATTTGTCTTTAGCTGCCTGCTAAGCACCGTCTCTGGTTATTCTATGAGCTAGTCAAACTCAACATTTTCAAAACAGTGTATTTCTGCCCATTCTCTACTTGTTCAAGTTTGTTTTCATTTTCCTGTGTAGGGGGAAGGACTGCTATAAATCTAGACACTTTTCTCAGTCTTTTCATATAATTCGTAATTAAGGCCTGTGGGTTTGTTTTCTTATGTATCTTTAAAAAGCCATGCATTTCTTTTAATCCTTACTTTACTGCCTTTGTTTAAACCCTGATAATCCCTTGACTGGAATGTGTAAGAAATAATTTTCTTACACATTTCAGTCTTTCACCTTTCTAGCCCATCCTCTGTATTGCAATGAAGGTTTTCACAACCCTTTTCTGCTCTTGCTTGCTAGATAATTTCAAACTTTTTAACTAGACATTTACAAGACTTTACATTTTTTTGCATCCTACCTATTTTCTTTCCTATATGTCTCAGTTATAACATATCATTTACATTTTCTAAACAAGGTTATGATATTTCCTTGTGTTGACAATGTTTCCTTCATCCTGGAAAGTCTTAAACTGGGTTTACATAAAAATTCCTCTCTTCAGAGTATAGGTTATGTTTTTTTTTTCTGAAGTATGTTTCCAGTTCTAGCAATGAAGTTATTTTCTCTATACAATAAGTACTCACTTAATTTTGTTGGTATGTTCTGTGACTTTAAGGGAAATAACATGTAAGAAAACCAATTTTATCATAACATAATTGACATAAACAAGAGTTAATTAAGTTCCTACAGCATCTTTTCAACATAGTAATGAAACAAGGTTATTCAAGGATCTGCTGTTGTATTTCCACGTTATATACTTCTGTCACTGTACTTATGCTGGAATTATTGTTGAGAGTCAGGAACAGCCCTCTGGCACATAACAGACATTCAGTATTTAACTTAAGACATTTAGTATCATGCATTGGGCCACTATGATATCATTGGCTCTTTGCTGTGTTATTGAAATATGAAATGGCTAAAACATATTCTTTGCTTTTAAGGAGACTACTTGAACAGGAAAGGCAGACTACTAAACAGACAATATTGAAAACAAGGAACAGGAAGTTTAAAAACTTTGTGTTTGTATGAGAGAAGAAAAGTATTCTAGGCAGGGAAGTTGTTTTAAGAAAGATATGTAGTGTGAAATAGACTAACATAAGTCTAATATAATTAGGAATTCTCAGGTGAATATACTTGGCTCATTAGTTAAGTTAATTAACCCAGTGAATTCTTGGGGTCTATTGGTTTCACTGTGTATGTTTCGGTTTATTGTAGAGAATACATGCATTGGCATCCATGCAGATACAGGTAAATCAGTTGGTCCCAGAAAGAATAGAAAATTTAGTAGACTTAAGCTCCTGGATAGGTGCCAGCATTAACATGACTCTAGTTTTTAGTATTTGCTTTGTACTAATATGCTTTATATTGGCAAAGATGTTTTTAGTACTCCCGTTTAAAATAAAAAATGAGGAAATAAGATTGGTCTAGCTTATGTTTTCTCATTAGGTGATATCATTGGCAGTTGGCCAGCCCATGATTTGGCTGTCCTTAATCAGACCTACAACTCATGTACGGCCAATCAGTTGTAGGAAAGGACGGTATCCCTTAGAAAGGATGGTAGTGTGTTAATACCATGTATAATAAAATTAGATTGCACATTCAGGCAAACCTAATTTTATTATGCTTAGATTTATTGCACATGCCAGCCAAAAGATTGCAACCTGTTTTATTGCTGTGGTCTGTAACTGAACCTGAATATCTCCAAGGTATGCCTGTCAGGAACTGAGTGGATGGGAAGTAAAGGGCAAAATGAAAATAGAGGAGCTACTGCACTGTCCATCAGAATTATATATAAAATTGCAATAGGAGCAGTGATTCTCTCAACTGTCTTAATAAACAATGACTGATTTGTGTTAAAAGTCTGTGTTTGCCCCACAGCTATGTTGGTAAGAGAATATAATCTAATTACACTTTTAATTCAGACATATTATTTCACAGCCGAACAATTATAAAATTTCTTTTTGTTGTGGTAGTGTAACTTTGTTAGACTGCATTCCCATCATTGAATTTTAGTCTGTGATATGTTAGTGTGTCATACAATTATATGGTTTTATCTTTTTAATATACAGGCTGCTCCAAATTGCTCTGAAACAGCTTTGATTTATATAGCTGATGTTTTGGCAAGAATTGCATCTGTAGAAGAAGGCCTTGCCTTACTTCTTTATGGAGAAAATATGAATTCTTCCAAAGAAAAAAGGTACATGTCTGTTTTAAATAATTGGTGGAATTTTTAACATATTTTATTAACCTGATTCAAAGTTTCCAAAATGTCATACTATATATTATTGGAAATATGGATAACTATTCTAGATGTAGTTTGGTTTCCTGACCAGCCACTAATAACATATGAGATCATCTTCAGAAAGTTGAAGGAGTAACCAGGATTGTGGACTATGTGGGCAGAGCAGGTCTTGATGTCTAATTTCAGAATGAGAATAAGAAGGTTCACTTTAGATGGGATATTTTTGCTCCCTTAGACTTTTCTCTTAAACTTCCAAAGCCACACATGATTGATTCAAATCAAACCTCACAAAGGTGCATGGAGGAAAAGCTAACGGCTTCCTCATCTCTGTACCATCATTCCATTTCATCTCCTGGCTTACCAATGACAGTGTTTTGGCTATACTTCTACACTTTTTGCACTTATGATGACATGTTAAAAATGTATTTATAGTCATAAAATTTTTGTTTCCTCTCTGACATCTTTTGGCTATTGCTATTTCTTTATCTTTTCTTTTTTTAGGAGTTCATATCTCTTTTTGTCTTGAGCCCATTTTCTCCTGGAACTTGCAGGGAGAGTGCTGAGATAAGCATGTGGTTTAATCTGTCATGTCTGGTCTGCTACCCTGGTCATCTGTTTTGCTTAATGGCTGTGATATCTTTGCAGATCTCTTTGAACCCAGTAGGTAACTGTGACATCTACTCCCAGAGTTCTCTTCTTTCCTCTGGGATCAGCTTTTCTGTGGTATTTGGTCTTTTCACATTGCTTGTTCTATCCATATTTAAGGCAAAATAGATGTAGATGAGGGCTCCTCCACTTACTCTTTATAACATGAAGAGTTTTCAGCTGCTCCTTTCCTGCACAAGATTCTGATTGGTAGCTTTGTTTGGACCAGTGTGGCAAGTTGATGGGCAGATTTTTTCTGAAAATAAGTGAATTGCTAGTTTTCTATCACATTAAGAACATTCCAGATGCCAAAATAGAGGTGGCTTTTATCTTGGGTGCTAACTTCTCTTTCTGGAGAAGCCTTCACTCACTGTAAACACTTGTTCAGAGTTCTGCCCTGGGATAAAAGAGTGCCAACCAGTGGCAGATCACAGGCCCGTCCTCACATGGGCCCCACTGTACTTGCTGATCAAACAAACAAACAGAATTTCTTTTCATTCTTGCCACTGTTCAGGGATTTGCCCCATTTTTGTATAATTGTACTTTTATTTTACTAGCTTCTCAGGGGCAGTTGGAAGCAGATATATGTGGACACATAAAATAAATTGAACTTAAATCTGATTAAGTCTATAGATGTAACTTTGGTTTTATAGGAAATATGGAAAACTAGAGGAATACTTCAAATGACATCGTGGTGTTGTAATTGTCCAAATAAAGAATGAACACAGAAAATGACTTTGTTTCTCCAAAATATCAGTGGCATGGAGCAAAAAAGAGTGGTCCTAAATAACTATAATAACCTAATTCATTCAATGGAACTTATTTGAATTCTGTTTGGAACAAACCTATTGTAAAAAGACAATCTTAAGGCAAACAGGAGAATTTTGATATGGGCTAACTATCAGACAGTATTAAGAAATTGTCATTTTGGGGGGTGGGGGTATTAGCATGTAAAATAGAAACTTTATCAGTTAGAGATGTGTACTGGGTAGTGTGACATGATATCTGGGATTTATCACATGATCTCAACAGAGTTGGGGTGAGTAGGGGTCAGGGAATAGAAAAAATGAGACTGGAGAGTATTATCACTTTTGAAGATGGATGAGGGGTACTTTCTATATACTGCCTACTGTTTTTGTTTGTTTATTTGCTTTTTAATCCAAAAAACTAATTAAAAGTGTGCTGCTCTGGGGCCAGACAGCCTGGGTTTGTTGAGTTTTGCTTGGCTCCACCTCTTGCTAGGTATGTGATATTGTTCAGGTTGCTTAACTTTTATAAGCATTGACTATATTTCCTTGTCTGTAAAAATTGAAGAATAATAAACCTATTCCATAGGGTTATTGCAAGGGTTGAGTTAATACACTTGAAATACTTAGAACAGTCCTTGGCACATGATGAACATTTACTGTGTTCTTCCTTATCTGTCACTCTTAATGCTATTAAAATGTCCTGGCCTCTGAGATGGGGGATCTAAGTCCTGTTAACGGATTGGGGAATGTATAACAAGTACTAGGAATGGAGAACTCAGGATTATGTTTTCACTATAGAATTAAGTGAGTATAGAATAACATTTAAGTGCATAGTTTTGCTGCTTTTTGTATCTTTTTATTTTTTCCTCTGTTCTATTGAAAATGCTCTCATTATTAGACATCTGCACGTGGTTGGGAACCCAAGTATTGACATGTCAGAGAAGCTAGAGGAAGACTAAAAGCAAGCCAAGCAAATGAGGAATTTGTGGAATTAGCCTTTTTGGTAGTGCTTTATAAAGTCATGCTTTATAACCTTGGAATCACCTTTCCGTATAATCTTTAGTTCTACAGGTGCTCATATAATAGCCCAGTTTTTGAAAAAACTTCTTGATGAAGATATTTCTATTTTTTCTGGATCAGAAATGTTGCCCATGGTGAAAGGAGCTTTTATTTCCACGTGTTGCCAAATATATGGTACATGTGAAGGCTTGCAAGTGTTAATCCCTTATAGTTTACATGAATCTCTAGCAAAGGCATGGAAGAAGGTAAGTATTTTAAAGTAATTTTTTCCTCCCTAAAAATCTTTATTTCAAATATAATCACTATTGTAGTGTCATGCTTCAGTTAGAATATTTTACTAGGGCAAATATGCATTCTTTTTTGTCAGAGATTTTATTTATTTTTTTAGAGAGAGAGGGGAAGGGAGGGAGAAAGAAATATCAATGTGAGAAAGAAACATTGATGTGAGAGAAACGTAGATTGGTTGACTCTTGTATGTGCCCTGCCTAGGGATGGAGCCTGCAACCAAGGCATGTGCCCTGAGCAGGAATTGAACTGGTGACCTTTTGCTTTGCAGAATGATGCCCAACCAATTAAGCCACAGCAGTCAGGACCAAATATGATTTCTTTAGCATCATAATACTCTAGAGAACATAGTGCTTTTTAGTTTGGCACAGGATGATTTTAGTGCCTCCTCTTTACAGGACACAGTTTTAGGGCCTAACTGTGTACTACAAAGTCTTTCTTCTGGTAGGGGAGGCTTAGATGAATTATCTTTGCAGAGACTGACGTTCCTATTTGGAAGTTATTTCTGAGTAACTTTCACAGATGGCTGGATTTTTATTATGAACGCTATAGATCATAACGTAGCAATAGTTAAATGTATATATATATATGGACTTTTTCCCCATTGCTATGCTTTATTTATGAAACACTTTACATGATATTTAACTAACAACCAAATTTAACTTTTGAAGGTAATTTAATTTTAATTACCTTAAGGATCAAATATAAAAATGTAGCATGAGATCTATAGGTAATTCTATCAGTAAAAAAATTATAAATTAATCTGTTATATTTTAGACAAGTTTGTTATCAGACAGAATTCCTACTCCAGTAGAGGATTCAGATTCTGTTTCTTCTATAAGCCAGGAATCCCAAAACATGTAAGTGTAATTAATTAAATTCATCTTTTTAATATATATTTGCTGAAATAACTTTAAAATGAGAGTGTAATAGACTACTATGGCAAAAACATTTTATAGGAAGGTAACTGTATATATAGGATAAAGAAAACTATACCTGGGAGGAAGTTCAAAGATCATATAATACTTGTGACTTAAAAAAATCTAGCAATATTTATTTTGTTTGCTTTATTGTATACTTACATTTTGGATTAGGAAACTTGACATGTTATATTGTTTTCAGAAAATTTGTAGAATTACCAAATACTAAAATTGGAAACCTAACTAAGGAGTTCAGTAGAAGAAAAGTGTTATCAAATGCCAGAGAAGTCTATTTACTGTTTTTCAAAACATGTGAGAATGCATTTTAATAATACTTTGGAAGAGAAATTATTTAAATCAGTATTTTACTCATTTTTAATTTAGAAGTCTCCATGTTTCTTCACAGATATCAATAGGTTATGGAATTATATTGATGAGGAAATATATGTGTGTGTGTATATATGTGTGTGTATATATATATTTATTTAAAATTAAGATGTGGTAACATATGTTCCTGGATTCTCTTCTTAATTGAGTGCTGGCATAGTCCAAAAAGATCATAGCTAAAGAAAAGAATGTTGAGGAATATTCTTAAGAGAAATCCAGAACTAACATTTCTTTTTAGGTAGGCATAGCTTAACTAAAAGAAACCAACCAGTCAAACAAAAAGTCTTTTGCATTTTTTTAACAGTGTCATAGTTCAACAAATAATTATAGCTAATTTTTGGAGAATTAACTTTTTTTTCTGATGTAGTTATCATAGACCTAAATCAACTGGCATTTTATTTTTCTTTGATGAGGGCATGAGAAAAACATTTCTGCAGTTCATTTTTGAGGTAAATTTTAGATTTTTTTGGAACCCTAGGATTTTTCAATTTTTTGCATGATTCATTTTGTACTCATTTATTCAGTTATTTATTGGAACAAGTTTTTTGCCGAGTACCTAGGTATTCTCAGAATACCTATATACGTCAGAGAGCTTATCATCTAGTGTAGAATACCAGTAAATAAATAGAAGGTAGCAATATAGTGTGTTAAATTTATATGATAGGGGTCATACAAGGTCCATTGAGAGTGAACTGATAGGGGAAATCTTCCAGAAGTTGTTGATAAAGTAAGTAAAAAAGAATAATGGAGATTAACTGTCTAAAGGGAGAACATTGTTCTTTGTGGAATAAATGGTGTATTCAACAGATTAGAATAAGAGGGAACATGATTAACGTACTTAACGCATTTTACTGTCACTAATATTTTTATATTTTTGATGTCAGAGTCTGAGGGGATGAATAAGTTATATACTGTCCCTTTTGTCCTGAGTTGTGAACCAATTAATAGACCAAAAGTCAAGCAGATCAAAACACTGAATAACATATACTTCCTAAAAATTGATCTCAAGACAGACTTGCCCTTCTGTCACAGTCAGTAGTGGACAGGTGTAGGATTCCCTCTAAAGCCATGCTTGCAAAGATCAAACTTAACTACATAGTAGAACAGAGCAGAATGTGTGCTTCCTACAGGTAACTGGATCACAAAGTGGAAATGGACGGGGGAGAGGCACTGAGCCAAGCATGCTTAGGTTAGCCTCCCACTCTTGAATCCCTTCCTCCATGGGGAGGAATGAGTGATTAATGGAGAGAGGCAAGGAGAGCTAAGCAGGGGACTGCTCCATGTGGAAGCTTGATGCTATAGGAGAAGGAGGCTCTCCCAATATCTGATATTAATGTCTTTAAACCAAAAGATTTAATAGAGTTTTTAATAATAGACAAAATGTTGATCATTTGTGTCATCAAAATGGAATTACCTCTTACAAAGATTTGAGTATCTTTTGCTCTTTTGTGCTACTGTAAAGTTAATATGAGATGGGCATTGTTTCTTCCTTTGTAGTTTGGTAGAACAGTCTGGGCCAGTTAATGAGGCTACTCTGATGTCAACACACAGCACCAATCCTCCTCCCCAGCCTCATCTGCTCTGTTAAATGGTCGTTTTTCTAGGTATAAAAGTTTTCATAGATAATTATTTCTCATTAGTGTTTGATGCTATTACTCCACTGTGTTCTAGAATAAGTAGCTAGTGATAAATGTGTCAGTATTATTGCCATGTAATTACTCTATTGTCTTCTGGAATAAGTAGTAATTGATAAATTTGTTAGTGCAATTGCTTTTCTTTTACACATCATATCTTTTCTCTCTCATCACTTATAATTTCTTCTTTGGATGTTTGTTGTTTTTTTGTGATTTAAGTTTATCCTCCTTAGTACTTTGAATGCTCTTTTGATCTAAAGACTGGCGTCTTTCCTCAAGTCCAGAAAATTCTCATTTGCTTTTCAAATACTCTCTGTATTTTCTTCTCTTAGAGCTTTTATTAGATGTGTATTGAGACCTTTCAGTCTATGTTCTGTGTCTCATCTTTTTTCTAAAACATTTCTTAATCTACCTACAGTTCAATTCAGTAATTCACTCCTTGGCCATGGCCTAGAGTTTATCCTATCTGCTTTTTACATGGCCATGTTTTTTTGTTTATCCCCAAGATTTTGAATGTTTTTTAAAAAATCTAAATTTATATTTCACTTCTGCATATATATATAATATATATTTATAGTTTATGTATGTAGTTATATATAGTTATATGTTTTTAAATATGCAAATTAATTACATATTAATTTTGATTTCAATTAAATATATATTATTTTTATTAGTCTTTCTAGCCTTGAGCCTTTTACTGGTTTTGTGCCTCATATGTAACTTGTTTAGTGCTTTGTGTTCTATTGGAACCAAACACGGCTTCCATTGCCTACATTTGCCTCAAAACTAATGTCGCTTCTTTATGCTTCTCTTTGTCCATGATGATGATTATTTTGTACTTCACATGGTTATGATTTGACCATTGCTTTGTTATTATCACAGAAGGATATATGTTAAAACATGTACTAATTTTTTTGAGCAGAAATGGATTTCAGATCTTTCTTAAAATCAGTTCCAAAATAGACTCTGAAACTTCCTAGGATGAGAATGGAAAGGCACCGTTTCTACATACTCAGTTTTACCATACATATACACAGTGGATTTGGACCTATTTTAATACCCATAGTTTCATTCTAGACAAGTAGAAATATCTAGTAGACAGTATGTTTTCTCTTACTTCTGGTACTTGAGCATGAAATTCTCATATCCCCTTCTGTATTTCCAAATTTCTAGCTTTGACTTTCTTATTAACTGTGTGTCTTGTGACCACCTCAGGTTTTTTTTGTTTTTGTTTTTGTTTTGTTTTTGAGAATGTTACTAGCCTTCCTTTTAGAAGTGTTCTGAGAAAAAAATGTCATTCTCCAAAAGTGTAATTAAAAACCTGTGAAGATAAAGGTAATATGCCTGATATGCTTCGGAAAGTCAGAAGACAGATACTGTACAATAAAAAGAAAGTAAGTTTCAAAATAATGGAGAGTTTGGGCGAGGGAACCTAGAACAACAGAACTATGGTAGGAAGATAGAATGAATTTAGAATGCATAGGAGAACCTGTGCATAATAAAAACGCTGGCATGCAGTGAACATTTGATTCATTCAGTGAAGGAAAATTATTGGGGTAGAAGATGTAAGAATAAAATAATTCAGTATTAAGGAAACTGTGCTTCTTATCATTTTTTAAAACATTTATTGAGTATTTTATAACCAATGTGCATTCTGTAAGTATAATTACCAACAGTATTAAGCTAAAATACTTTCTTTCTCAGTTTGAGTGTAATAAAGAAATTTATGCCTTCTCTTTATCTGTCTCAGTATAGCTTGGGAAGAGAATTTATTAGATGGTTTACTCAATTTTGCTGCCACTCCTAAAGGACTACTACTTCTTCAAAGAACAGATGCCATCAATGAATGTGTGACATTTATGTTCAACAGATATGCAAAAAAGTTACAGGTAGGAATTGCCATCTGCCGCAGGCCAGAAGGAATTTTTTTTTTTTGCTTTAAAAGCCATTAAGAACACTGTCCTTTCTTCTGTGCGTGAAGAGGTTATTAAACTTGAGTTAAATAAAAAGCTATACAGCGTTGTAAGGTTTAACTTGATTTTTTTTTAGGAAAGCATTAGCAAGTTGATGTGGAATCTATGACTATGTCTACTGGATGACAAACATCCAGATGCAATTGAAAAATTCAGTTAATTATCCAGGTGTTTTATAAATGTGATATCAAACATCTAAATATACTAAAACTGGCTGGAACTTACAAGAAAAACCATTTGGGGTTAATTGTAGGCATTAATGAGAGTGTGGGGCTCACATTTTAAAAGAAACAAATATTAGTAGAGGGATTTTATTATTGGTACTGTTAAATAAAATTTACAATAGAATGTAGCCTTTTCTCAGATAGCAGTCATAGAGGTGTATTCAGCTTTTTGCTGTCAAAGTGAATATCCAAGACTTCTGAGGTTTTTAGGGTCACAGGTATGCTTTTCTCTGTTTTTGGAAGCTGTTTTTATGTTATTAGGTTGCCTGATTATAAGTATCATTGTATTCATTCTTTCTTAGTTACCAATTCTAATTTCCTACTTTTCTTTAAGCCTCTAAAAAACAAAACAAATTATTAACTTTTTAGGGTTGCTTTTGCCTATGAAGAATAAGTAGTTCCTGAGGGAGGGCCCTGATAATCTCCTTATAAATAAAACATATGGACATTTGTTCATGGGTTTATGATATTAGCTTTGTTATGTGCAGGTGAGTGTTTATTTGTTTAAATGGACCTCAAGTATAGAGAATTTTAGTTATTTACATGTCACATTTCATGGTGTAACGTCCACATCTGTCCATACAAGATTTCTCACTTGATTAGTTATATTCTCCTGTCATTCCTAACTGACAGTTTCATTTCATTGTGCCTGCATTCTCCTACCCCAGGCTTTCATTCCAATTAGTGTGTATAATATCCTTGAATATGTATACTTGTGTAATATTGTCTTGCTACATTGGGGCTGCTGTTACAAAAGACCACAGACTGGGTGTCTTATCAGTAGAAGAAATTTACTGCTCACAGTTCCAGAGGCTAGAAGTCCACTGTGTGCATGCCAGCATGGGCAGATGAAGGCTCTCTTCTGGCTTGCAGACTTACAGCATCTTCATGTGGCAGGAGCTAGGGAGCAAGCCCCCTGGCATCTTTTCCCTAAGAGCACTGGCCCTGTTCATGAGGACATGCCACCTTCAGAACCTAATCACCTTGTGAAGGCCCCACTTACTACCCTTACCTTTGGGGGTTAGGATTTTAATATGAATTTTGAGGTGACATTCAGACTATATCAAACATAGAAGTTTTTTAGCCTTTTTAAGTTTACATAAGTGAAATTGTGTTTTTTTAGAAGAAACATATTTTTATTTAATCAAAAAATAAAATTCTATTAAAACAAAATTGTTTTCAAGAGATACTTATTTTATGCATTCTTAGTGTAAAATAATTTATTAAAGCAGGTAGTGGAGAATGTCTTTTTTTTAAAAAATATTTTATTGATGTTCAAGTACAGTTGTCTGCATTTACCTGCCACCACTCCCCCCCACCCCAGCCATCCCCACTTCCCTCCCCACTTCCACCCCCGCTTGGTTTTGTCCATGTGTCCTTTATAGTTGTTTCTGAAACCCTCCCGCCATCTCCCCCATTAAGGACAATCTGACAGTAACCAGAGAGGAGGTGGGAGGAAATTGTGTTGTTTCAATTTGAATTTCTCTGCTGGTGAGTTAGAATCTGTATACTAGTTAACCATTTGAGTTTTCATTTTGTTTTTACATTTTTAAAAATATTCAATAATTCCAAGGCATTTTTCTTTATCATTCAGATACATGAAATCATGCAGACAGCTTTTACTCTTGTGATATGCACATATGACTAGGTGCCATTTTTACATTTATAAATTTTAGGACTATCTTGTCTTCCTTCGTACCACACTGGTGGTTAAAAGAGAAGGTGTTGTTTCCTAGACCTTAGACACTTATAACCTTATACGTTATTATAATACTTTAATGGTGCTTTATGCTATTTACAACATTTTTGGAAAATTCAGGTATTTGCCTACTATGTAAGAAATTAATTAGGCCATACCCTTAGCTTTGCTGAAGAGAAAGTAGAGACCCAGGTTGGTGAAATGATCTGCTTATGCTCTAGTAACTGACGGAGTAAGACTAGAACTTAGATTTGTATTTTACAGTGTCCCCCAAATCTGAATCTTATTTAGCAAAACATCTCTAAATCCTCTGTATTTTCTTTTTATGCCCTTACCTCTTCAGTACTTACTGTGAATCTGGGAAGTTCCAAGGCTACTTATGTCTGAATCAGCAGGGTCAGTGAGGGGAGCTGAGTAAGGTGTTTTTGCAGTTATTCTGGAGGAAAGCAGGTGTGAAGGGATAGTCATTTATCTCGTTTACCTCTCTGTTATCTAATTGCAGAACTAATGGATGGTAATTAAGGAAAATAGAAAATATGAGTAGTAAAAATTGAAGAAGGAAGGAAAATGGAAAAAACATAGAAATGAAGACATTAACCTAGTTCTTTCCCATGGTCCTTCAGTTTCTCTCTCCTTTTTTTCTTTGTTCTTAAAACTGAATATGCAGCTTATATTTTAAAATTTTGATTAAAATAGATTCTATTAATGATATGTTGAAAAAAATGTAAGTTAGAAATGGTAGCCAATCTGATCTTAGCCAAAGTCTGAGAAGGACTTTGTTATTCCTTACTCTGATTTCTGTAAAGAGAGATACTCACTTCTGTACTTTTTACCATGAATATATGTGTAATCTCTTTTTGAAATATAAAATTATTTAAGATATTCTATAATACTGTTTAGAAATCTGTATATTAATGATGAACATTCTTTGTTAGTGTATATTTTATCTATAAAAGTCCCTTCCTTGGGGAAAGAAACACATTGCCTGTAAAAATAATTGTCATTTTTAAGAAGAGACCATTGTACTTTTTAAAGAATCAAACAACTTTAAAAAACTGGCAGCCAATAGGAACTTATTAATGAGGAAATTTATAATTGAAGAACCAACCTGAAGAATTAAACAGTAAGATAATAGAATTCAGAGTTGGAAGTAATCTTGCTTGACATCTGGTCAAAGTCCCTTATTTTGTGTATGAAAAGACTTAGACCCAAAGAGAAAAGTGACTTGTTCAAGGTTGAAAAGTTACTCAGTTCCCAGGCTGGGACCAGAACCTAGGTCTGAAATAAAATTGTCGAAAATATTACATTAGTGTTAACTCATTAATTATTATAGTTTCTGAATTTGTTTTTGCTGTTCTCATTATCTTTACTGGAAATGATATCTATTGTTCTAATTTTAAAAATCAGCAACTCTCCATGTAACATGTAAGTAAACCATTAGCATGCTGTGTTTTCCTGTGTCTCACTGTTGTTCCTTATTTATGTTTTTAGATTAGCAGGCATAAAAAGTTCGATTGTGGGGTTTTGGTTACACAAGTAGCCTCAACAGCAGCAGGTGCAGTAGCACTGCAGAGGTCAAGTAAGTTTTTCCTTTCACTGAGAATTATAATTATTTAAATGAAATGAGCAATCCAATGAAAAATGTAATTGTCATGGTCAAGTATCAGGATATTACTCTAAAGTTATTTTTCCCAAGTTAGGCCTTGGGTAAGAGTACATTACAGGGCTTCCTGTTTATCTCTTGTTGTCCATGAAATCCCACTGGGAATCTTCTTTTCCTGTGAATTTTATCAAATCAGAACAATGGCACCTAATGAACTAAACTGAGAAATACTTGATGCTTTAAGAAGTTGCCCTCATCTTATAAATTGAAAGGGTATCATCCTCTCTCTTGGTACAGTTGCATCTAAGATTTCTTCATGCTCAGTTTCAGTGGCTTGTGTATGCATCAAAATTTACAATCATAGTAGTTTTTTCATGTATCATTTCCTTACTCCCTTTCTTCTCTTCCTTTCTTGAAAGCTCCCCTCTTGCCACTTAACTTTCACCATTGTCCTTGCAGTTTGCGGTCAGCATGTGTCATCCACTGTGGATTGGATTTCTAAGTAGTTCAATTACTGGGAATTTAAGATATCAAATCTTAAGATTATCTGATCTCTGAACTGGAGACAAGATGTAATCTCTAATAGAGATGCTATGATTATATTTTTCATGGGTTAGAGCGAGTGAATCACAACATGAGTAATCACTATTGAGTCTCGTTTTAAATACAAATATTTTCCTATAGCATATTTTGAATATTTTTGGCTGAACCAATTTGGGCTACTTGTATTATGAAGCATGTCTTCTGGCAGAAATTGTCCTAAGCCAAACCACTTTTTTTTTTTTTTTTACTTAGAATACAATCCAGTTTATTCAGTAGTCAGGGCACATGGATGAAAGCATTGGGATTTATCTCAGATTTCCCTGTTGGTCAAGTTATTAAACTTCTGAACCTCATAATACCAAACTTTTCGTGAGAAAGTTAGATGCAATTTTTCACAGGACAAAGGAAGGAAGATTAATACCCTTTGAGTTCTTAGGTATGATAGACACCCTATGGTGTCTTAGGTATGATGTCAGGAACTCTGCAGATAAGATCCTATTTATACTTCATAGCAACCCTGCAATGCAGCAGGATGTCAGTTTTCACATGGGGGAACTGATGCTCCGAGAAGTGTAGGGAGTTCTCTAAAGACATGCACCAATAAACCGTCAGGTCTGTAGTTTGAACCCAGATAGTCTCAGTTTCACAGCATATTCTTCTTTTTATGTGTAGAGGATGCTTTCTTCTCAGATATTTTTATTATAAAATTACTGATTTGATGATTAGATGTTCTGTTTTACATGTTTTCATATGATATGATTCTTCATACAGGAACTTAATAATCATGCTTAATAATCACTTTCATTTAGATATGTAGTATCTGACTCATGAGAATTTAAAGACTGTACTGAGCCAAATATGTGAAATGGAGAACTATTATAAGCATATGGAATTACGAAAAACACTTACCATAGGGAACCTACATTATTCAGATGCCTACCCTGCCCACTACTACCTCCTTCCACACACACACTCCCCACTTTCAGTCCACCTTTCATTGTTGGCTTATTTACAGAGTAAAGTGTAAACCTTATTATTTTTCAAAAAAACATGCTCAAAGAAGTTATTGTCCAGAGGATAAAATCTGGGACTCAAAATTTACTTCAAAGGAAAATAATCTTTCAGAATTTTATCAGTACACAGTATTATGATAATGAGGCATAAAAATATATTAACAATAGCAAATATAATTTCTACCAAGTTTGGAGGTAATTATGTGTCTTTGGTCAGTGTGGACCAGTCTGTGTGAAGGATAATTGTATCTTTCCTACATAATCCAAAGAAATAGTATACTATAAATATGATGTAAAATAATTCTTTTTAGGGTTTGTTAATGCACTCATAACTGAATTATGGGCCAATTTGGAATGTGGAAGAGATGATGTTAGAGTAACCCATCCGAGAGCTACCCCAGTGGATCCTATTGACCAAAGCTGTCAAAAGGTAAGGGATGATTTGGCTTATCTAATAATGTACAAGCTTTAAGTTTATGTGTCAGAAATTAATTTATCCAGACTTTATTCAATTATAGTGAACAGCCTTTCCTAATGTTTTTCTTTCCTCTCTTTTTTTTATTTCAAAATTTAAAAAATTCACAGTAAATTTAATGAATGGCAGAAATACTAGGGTTCTCTGGGAGTCATGTTTGGAAGGATGTTATTTTTACATAATATTTTATTATAAATTTTCTTTTTTAATGAAGAGTAATACCAAGATGTGTTACAGAATAAATAAATATGCAAAAACCCTGAAACAGAAACCAACCAATCAAAATAAAACAAGTGAGGAAGCTTTTGGCCTTTGAGCTCAAATATAATAGAAAATTTGTAGGAGTATTTCAAGAAGGTATAGGCAGAGAGAGGATGCCATTCCTCAGAGTAATATGGGAAAACCAACAAAGAAACAAACAAACTCTTAAGCACCCATACAGTGTTCTAATTCAGTGGCTTTTACATATTTAACATGTTCTTCAAATTTTACTTAAAACAAATGATGATTTCTGACTTTGATTTTATGGTACCTTGGGAATTTTCATTCAAGTGGTATCACAAAATTATCAAAATTAAAACACAGAATAGAAGCATGCTTTCTGTAATTGTAAACTAGTTTCCTCCAGGGAAAAACATAAACTCAGGAAAAATAACTTAAAATCAATTGCTTTCTAAATAGCAAAAATAGACAAAAAATGGAGGTGAGTCAAAACAGATGAAAAGAATGATACTGCTTGACATTCTGGTTGTAACAGATATTTGCTGGAAGGTGAGTATTGGTGTTCTATTGAAGATCCCACAGGTATTAAAGAACATTAAGGGGATATTATGGTTGGCTTTATGCTTTGAATTCAACAACTAAGATTAAATTGGCAGATTTCTTAAGAACTGTGTTTACTGTCCTGGCTGGGTGGCTCACTTGTTTGGAGCTTTATCCCATACATTAAAAGGCTGTGGGTTCGATTTCTGCTCAGAGCGTGTACCTGGGTTGTGGGTTAGATATCCAGTCAGGGTCCATTTAGGAAGCAACTGATGGATATTCCTTTTTCACACTGATGTTGCTCTTGCTCTCTTTCTCACTCTCTCTCTTCTCTCAAATCAAGAAATATATCTGTGGGTGAGGATTAAAAAAATACGCTTACCACCCTGGCTGTATGGCTCAGTGGATTGAGCGCTGGCCTGCAAAGCAAAGGGTTGCTGGTTCAATTCCCAGTCAGGGCACATGCCTGGGTTGTGGGCCAAGTCCCCAGGAGGGGGAGTGCAAGAGGCAACCACACAATGATGTTTCTTTCCCTCTCTTTCTCCCTGCCTTCCCCTCTGTCTAAAAATAAATAAATAAATAAAATCTTTAAAAATATATGCTTACCAAAATTGGCCTAATATAAAATAGAAAATCTAAATAGCTATGTATTGGTTAAAGAAATTTAATTCATTATTGAAAACTTTCCCACAAAGAGCCTTTCTGCACTCCCCAGAGAGGGAACCATATGGTGTTGTTCTTGGTTCCCACATAACTTAAACTGAAACAGTCACAAATGTCTGGACACCTTGATGTCCTACAAATGAAGCAGGAGGATGTCTTCAAATTCCTTGCAGCAAGAACCCACTTACATGGCACCAAGTTTGACTTCCAGGTGGAACAGCACCCCTGCAAAAGGAAAAGTGGCAGCATCTGCACCGTAAATCTGAACAGAACCTGGGAGGAGCTTCTGCCTGTAGCTCGTGCCGTTGTTGCCACTGAAAACCCCACTGCTGTCAGTGTCACCTCCTACAGGGAGCTGCAGTGAAGCTTGTTGCTGCCACCACTGCAGTCACCCCCATCGCCAGCACTTCACTCCTGGAACCCTCACTAACCAAACCCTGGCAGCCTTCTGGGAGCCGAGACTTCTATGGTTACTGATCCCAGGGCTGACCACCACCCTCTCACAGAGGCATCTTATGTTAATTTGACCACCATTGCTCTGTGTCACACAGACTTTTCTCTGCACTTTGTGGCCTTTGTCAACCCTGGCAACCACAGGGGCGCTACTCAGTAGGTCTTATGTGGTGCATGCTGGCCCCTGGAAGTACTACACATGTGTGGCACCATCTCTCATGAACACCCATGGGAGATCCTGCCTGATCTCTACTTCTAAGGAGATCCTGAAGAGATTGTGAAGAAAGAGATTGAGCAGGCCGCTACTGAAAAGGCCATGACTAAGTAAGAATTTCAGGGTGCATGGTCTGCTCTGGCTCCCAAGTTCACTGCTGCCCAGCCTGAGGTCACAGACTGGTCTGAAGAAGGCACAGGTGCCCTCTATACCTATTCTGCAGTTTCCTACTGAAGCCTGGAGCACTCAGCCAGGCACTGAAGATGAGTCTGCAGCCCCTGCTACACAGGCCAGTGAGTGGGTAGGAACAATCACTGAGTGGTCGTAAGCTGTTCTTCTACAAACTCTTAACAGACTGGAAATTCTCATCATCACTAGCCGTTATAGAGATGCAAACTAGAACCACAATGAGATATCACTTCATACCAGTCAGAGTGGCCATCATAAACAAATCAACAAACAACAAGTGCTGGCAAGGTTGCAGAGAAAGGGCACCCTAGTGCACTGTTGGTGGGAATGCAGACTGGTACAGTTGCTATGGAAATCAACATGGAATTTCCTCAAAAAACTAAGTGGAACTTCCTTGTGATCCAGCGATCTGACTACTGGGACTATACCCTAAGAATCCTGAATTACTAATTCAAAAGAACCTATGCACCCCAATGTCCATAGGAGCGTTATTTACAATAGCCAAGTGCTGGAAACAGCCTAAGTGCCCATCAGTAAATGAGTGGATCGAAAAACTGTGGTACATTTACACAATGGAATACTACGCAGCAGAAAGATAAAAGGAGATCCTACCCTTTGCAACAGCGTGGATAGAACTGGAGAGCGTTAAATAAGCAATAAGCCAGGCAATCAAAGGTAAATACCATATGATCTCACCTGTAAATGGAACCTAGTCAACAAAACAAACAAATAAGCAAAATAGAACCAGAGACTTGGAAATAAAGAACAAATTGATGGTGACCAGAGAGAAGGGGAGAGGGAGATAATGGGAAAGAAGAGGAAGGGTCAAGCAAAGGAACATGAACAGAGGACTCATTGGCATAGATGATAGGGGGATTGACCACGGGGGTTGGGGGGACAGAGTAGGGGTGAGTGGTGAGGGAAAGGAGGGACAACTGTAACTGAACAATGATAAATACAAATAAAAAGAAAAAAGAATGGAAATATGGAAGTAAGGTTGATGGAAAATAAAATTTCTAAAAAAATAGAAAAGAAAAAACCCTTCCTACAAAGAAAACCAGATGGTTCTTCACCACTGAATTCTACGAAATTTTTATAGGAGGAAGAGCACCAATCACATACATACACACCCTTTCAGAAAACAGAGGTAGAGGAATCAGTTTCTAATTTATGTTATGCCAGCATAACCCCAACTTGGAAACCAGACAAATGTTTAAAAAAAAATAAACTTACTGACTAATATTTCTGATGCATATAGACTTAAAATACTTAACAAACTATCAAATTGTATCTAGGAATATGTAAAAGGACCATCTAATATAATCAAGTGGGGTTTATCCCAAACATACAAAGTTGGGTTAACATTCTAAAATGAAACTCTATTTTGCCCTGGCTGGCGTAGCTCAGTGGATTGAGTGTACTCAAAGCATCGGAGGTTCGATTCCCAGTCAGGGCACATGCCTGGGTTGCAGGCCAGGTCCCCAGTGGGGGCCATGTGAGAGGCAACCACACATTGTTTCTCTCTCTTTCTCCCTCCCTTTCCCCTCTCTAAAAATAAATAAATAAAATCTTTTAAAAAAATCTTAAAAAAAATGAAACTCTTTCACCATATTGACAGAATGAAGAGAAAACTTATACAATGATTTCAATAGATATGGAAATAGCATTTGAGAAAAAGTAATACCGATTTATAAACACTCATCAGATTAAATCATCAATCTGATAAGTGCTATCTTTGAAAAACATACATCATCAACATTTAATGGTGAAATATTGAACATTATGTTTGTTTACTCTTAGCACTTTTCAATATTTTATTAGATCTTAGTGCAGTGAGACAAGAAAAAAATAGAAGGCATACAGATGGGAAAGATGTGTAAAAATATATTTGAAAATAGTTTGATTTTCTCATCCTAAAATAAACAGAAAATTTGCCTTTGAATCACTTTCTGATTATTCCATTAAACACTTTAAAAATACATGACTGATATGATAACTATAACTGATACTTTGTCGTTCTTAGAACTTCCAAATTCTGACTTGTTTTTTTCCTCCTAGTTTTACCTACCTTCAAAACCATTTTCCTTCATAGCACTCTATTTAATATGTATAATGTAATTCCCATTACTTTCTGAAAACACTATGTTAGTTCCCTCTTTTTCCAAAATGATAAAGATAGAGCTAATTAACATAGCATCTCTGCCTACTTGCCTGCTACCTCTGCAGTGCTCTCTCTCACTTCTCCCTGCTTTGATATGTAGTGTCACCCCCCTAATATCCTTCCACTCAACAGTACAACAGCATCAGGTACTGTTAAAGTACTGTTTGAGATCATCTCATAGGGTATTTGTCCTGTACTACACTGTGAGTCCTTGTGGGCAGAGACCATTGTTTCATTCATATTATTATTATTAGCATCTGGCACACTTGCTGATAATAAGCTGGCATTAAAATATTTCAAATGACTAAATTAGTGAATGGATGATCATTATCAACCTGAAAGATTTCAAATTCATAAGAAAAAGTTCTTGGCTTTAGGTTTAATTTTATGCTGCAGTCTTAAAATGTATAAAACATTTAACCTTCCACTACATTTCTTGTCATTACAACACAGAGTCCCATTCTTCAAAACATCAGTGAAACAGAATTATGTTTTATGCTAAAATAAATTTCAGGATAATTAACATCTTTGGTTATGTTTGTGGGAGCCAGTGATTGCATTGTAAACATTTTCTTGAGTTCTGGGAGTGTTCAGCGCATCACCATTTCGTAGTGTGCCAGTGTCTGTCACAGATGCTCACTGGGAGAGAAACGGATTTCTTTCTGCTAGAAACAAGCTGCTGAAATCTTAAGTTTCTTTAAAATATCGTTTAGGTTGTTTTAGTTCAAATACAGTTACAGAATTGTTTTCACCTAGGGTTCTACATGATTTTAGAGTAGCGTATCAGCAGTTATGATTCTATTATGTGGTCCACATTGTTTTATTTCTTAGGTGGAGGAAGGTCCATAAATACCAAAGGAATTTTCTTGTGTGAATCATATAAAAGTCCTCAATGTCATTCTGATACATGTGATTTGTAAAGATCATATATTTTTATGGATAGTGTAAGTTGTCAAAAAGGACATTTATTAAGTTTTTTTATAATCTGGTTATAATAGATGGGAAAGATGTTTTAAACAAAATATTTATGACAGTATCTACATATTACTGGATTAATATTAAGGACACTTATGACATATTTATATATTCACATTGTAAAGCACTTAAAGCATATATTTTATGATAAATTAGATTAAAATAAAACTGTTAATGGCATGTGTTTCAATCAGCTTTTCTAGTCAACACCCTGGTGATTAGTGAATTTTTACAGTGTTTCCCTATATGGCTATGTATCTGTAGTTTTGCTATAGTTCATTTTATATATAATTAATAGACATTATTCAAACATCCTTTCTTTCATATCTGTTTTTCCCTCCTCTATAGTGCATATTTTTAGCATAGTGTTATCTTTAAGTAGGCATTAATTGAATCGCTACTATGCTATTAATTTTTTTATTCTACTTTATGCTAATGTTATTGCTATCCAAATAGATATTCATTTTAAACTATAAGTATGTTATTTTCTTCTTAGAATTGGCTAGAAATTTCTTCTTCATTTTATGGAGTATTTATGTGAAAAAGGAAAGCTTTTAAAAATTTTGATGTGAGTTCATTTTTCATCCTATAGCAGCATTTGTTAAAAACCAGTGTGTGTGAATTAGCTACTGTTAAGTAACATTGCTTTTGGTATATTAAGGCAAAGGTTATGAAATGAACTATACCTTCCAGGTCCTCAAACGTAGCCTATGGAGCAAGGGTGATACCGTATATAATATCTGAAGATTTTATAGTGATTTTTATTGAGTAATCTTAGCCTGGAAATAAGAAAATACGGATTAGTTTTATGACCAACTTTCTGATTTGTGTCTTTGGCTAGGTTTCTTCAGTTTTCTGGTTCTTAAGTTTTCTCATTTATTAAATGAGAGATTGAATGAACTCTTCTTTTTAATTTTCTCAATGCTTCAACTTTAGTGAAAATTCTCAATTTGATTCTTAAATTTTCTGAGTCTAGTAAACATTTTTAAAAACAACAAAAAGGAAATTTAATGGTTATGAATTAGTACAATTAATACCCTAAAAACCCTAACATGAATGTATTGGTTTCTAGACGTGGATAGAATTAATTGGAAAGGCTTCTAGCACAAAACTGCTGTGAAAGCTTGTGAAGTGGGATAATGAGCATGTGAGAGGGAGGAGGCGCGTGTTTGTAGGCAAGAGAAGTTTATGTGGCAGTCACTGAAGAAGACCACAGGCAGGTTTGATTGAAGCAGTGACTTCATGCTGAGGATTAATGGGAAATGAGGCTTTCGAGCCTGTGAAGAGCAGAAAGGGTCAACTAGTAAAGTGCCTTGAAAGTCATGCTAAGGAGTTAGTTGTGATGTTTAGTGATGGGCAGCCGTTGTATGCTTTTGTGCAGGAGATCAGGAGAAGGAAGTGTGCCTGAGAAAAATGTTGAAGTTGTCTTTAAGACAAAGTGACAATGGGAGCTTAAAAACTTCATGGATAGATTAACTTGAAAAGATTGTACCAGAAAATGAGCTGCTTTTGGTACAAAAAGCCTTAGCTTTTTAAAACTAATTATAATTAATTTAGTTGGATTTCCAGTGAATGTAGTTAAAGGATAAAGATGACTTTGTGACATAAGTGAATAATATATAGAATTTATCATCTTGCTCCAAAGTCCCTAACTCACTGATATTTTCTCATAAATCAGATATAACAAATGCAAAGAATGAGAAAGATGGATCTTTTTTCTCAGAATGAAACTTTTCAAGAGATACATGATATTTTCAAGTATTTTCCAACGCTCAACTAATTATAATAGTTATTATGCATTGTCAACATATATATTATTTTTCACGTTAACTATTTTGTACTTATTATATGTATGTATTTCACACTTATGTGGATTAATTAGGCTTATTTAAAAAATTATTCCTTACAGTCAAACTGCTATAAAACTTTACATTAATGATTCTTCTGTGGATGTGGTTAAACAAATGAACTATTTAAATGACTTTTCCTTCTCTCTCTCCTAGTCTTTTCTAGCGCTGGTGAACTTCTTATCCTATCCTGCTGTTTATGAGCTGGTAGGCAATCAAGATCTTCCTAATAAAGCAGAATATTCTCTTCGTGAAGTTCCCACATGTATTATTGTAAGTAATTTTCTTTTAATTTTTGTCTTTTATAAATAATACTTTTGGAACTTTGTAGTAAAAAAGCAATTTGACAGAAAAAAAAGGAACACTATTTAATGGCACCTAAAGACTGGTTTACCCATGGAGTATCAACTTGTGAATTATTTGTGAATGGAACCTTTAATCCAGGCCTCTGACAGTTGCAATGCCTATCAGAATGAATATAAGGTTAACACTCCCCAACAAGGAAAGGGATTTGGCAAATAAAATATGTGTCTGAATGAATTTTAGATGACTTATTATATTACTAGTCATACCAGTTTTGCTCCTTTATTGGCTAGGATAATTAGGGATAAATTATGTTCAAGTAGTGCAATATATTTTCTCCTTGTATTTTAATGAACTACATGTTAACTGCCCCTTGAGGGCAGTATATACATATTTATTTCATTTGAGATTTATTTCATAATCAGACTCCCAGTCTGGTAACTTGTTTTAGTCACCCAGAGATATTTAGTTCCTCATCTTTGGGTAAGTTTATGAATTGACACACATAAATATGTATATATGCATTAGTAAATAATTATTTGATTAATACTGAAACTCCATTATTAATCCTTATTTTTTGTTTTTTCTGGCCACTTGTCTAGTGTGTGTGTGTGTGTGTGTGTGTGTGTTTAAACACAGTTTTGCTCTCTTGAATACTTTTAGTTCTTGTTAACTCTAAACATTTTAATTTTTTAAAACTTTCTCTATTATGGGAAATTTTTGATATTTTACCTGAGTAAAATATAAAGATAGGGACTTCTATCACTCCACTTTTATTTTATATTCTCCATTTCTTGAAGTGTTCCAATTTTAACTTGTGCTTATTTGTATCATGACACTTCTGGTAGTTTTATAATTAGCCATTCATGTACCTGTCTTTCCTTTAACTTAATTTGCCACTTTGTGGCATTCTGCACAGTTGAGCCAACCCTCCTCATTGTCACTGTCTTCTGGGCTTGTGGTACTGCTGGTTTTCTTCAGCTTCTCTGGCCTCTTCTACATGGTCTCCTTTGTGGACTTCTCTTCCCCTCTGTCTTGTGTCCTCCAGGCTGATTTCATCCAATTCCTTGGCTGCCGTGGTGCACTGGCAGCTCTCTGACTTGTACCATTCATTTACTGCCAGATGTATGCCCAGATTCCTACAAGATGATGGATATCCGGGAAACTCATGGGCATCTTAGTTTTCTTGTATGCACAATTAAGTATAGTGTTCTCTCCATCCTAAACGAATTCCATTTCCTATGTTTTTATCTCAGCAAATGGTACCATCCTCCTTCTGTAGATGCAACAAATTATCATTCATAGGTTTTTCCTCCTTCTTAATTTCATCTTATTTATTTTTCTATTCCTGTTAAGAGCACCTTAGCTCAGACCCTCACTTTTTTGCTAAATTACTTCAGTGGGATTCTAATTGCTATTTTTCTTCCAGTCTTAACCTATAATTTATCCTCAAAGTCATCCTATAAAAACGAAAACCAGATGCAGTCACTCACTCTATTGTTTAGAATCTGCTGACTTACCTTTGGCTCCATACAAAGTCCATATGGACTTCTTTGATGGCATTCAGCTTTTCCTTTTTCTCCTCAAAGCCTCCTTTTTTCCCTCATCTTACCTTTTACTCTTTAACACCCACATTTTTTCGACAAGCTTCTTTCCTCTCTGAAGTGTGGAAGGCACATAACCTTGCTCTTTGGTGAGATTTCACCTCCTCATTATTTAGGGCTTATTCTAGCTTTATTCCTTCTGTGAAGTCTTTTAGCCCTTCCTCTTTGGCCACTACTCTAGTGGGTTCCTCTTAATATACTCTCATAGAGAGCACCTTGTCCATGAATAAAGCATATGTCACACTATTTTATACGATTTTTGTATTGTTTCTCCTAATAGACCAGAAAATCCATGAGGAAAGGAACTGTATCTTATTTGTCTGTTGCCCTGAATGCCTAACAAGTGTGGTATTTTTCTCTCTCTTTTTGGTGCTATGAGCATGGTAGGTTCTCAGTAACATCACTGTTTAATTATTTGTTACTGGCTAGGCCTAGACACTTAGTGACTTGGGCCCTAGGTTTTGTTCAAAAGGATTTAACTCAGTAACTTTATTTTCTCTGGAAGTCCCATGATGGCAAGAACCCTAGGAAGTAACAGTGAAGTCTGGTGTGTGTGAGTGTGTCTGTGTGTGTCTTTGTGTGTGTGTATGTGTGAATGTGTCTCTGTGTATGTACACATATTTGTGAATGTGTGTGCTTTCTTTATTTTGTGGGCATTTTCAAACTTATTAGGTTGGCCAAAGAGTCCATTTAGTTTTTCTCCTGTAAAATAAAAGACACATTTTTCATTTTCACCAATAATTTTATTTATTTGGATATTTTGAGTATGTCAGCTATCTCCCACATGGCATAACTTTGATTGTTCTCAATTAATGTCTCTTTTTGATTGCCATCAACTTCACCTGGTCTGCCTGACTCTGGAGCATCATCTAGGGAGAAATCAGCAGCACAAAACTTCACAAACCACTTTTGACACATTCAATCAGTCCCAGCATCTTCTCCACACACTGCACAAATCTTTTTGTGTGTTTCAGTTGTGGTTTTATCTATTGGCATAATACACCAAAAATGTTGGGTATTTTCTTCCATCATCAATATTAAAATGTCTATATGCTAAGTGAACTAAGTCAGGTGGTGAAAGACAAATACTGTATGATTTCACCTATAAGTGGAACCTAATCAACAAAACAAACAAGCAAGCAAAAATATAGTCAGAAACATTGAAATAAGAACAAACTGACAGTAAACCAGAGGAGAGGACAGAGGGGAATAATGGGGGGAAGAAGGGGAAGGGTCATCAAGGAACATGTATAAAGGACACATGGACAAAGCCAAAGAGGGGTAGGACTGAGGGTGGGAGGTGGGGGTGGGTGGTTGAGAAGGAGTGGTTGGGGGAGAATGGAGACAACTGCACTTGAACAATAATAAATAAAATGGCTATATAAAAATCCACCAATTTTGATAAGTTTTTAAAAAATTCATACTGATATGATAGCTGTCACAATACAATCTAACAAAATTGTTTCAAATGAAGTTAAAGACAACTAAGAGGCTACTAGAGCCATCTAATGGAAAAAACCTAACTAACCTTTTGGCCAACACATTATATTAAAAAATAGTATAATGAACTCCCATATATCAATCGGTAAACTTCAGCTTTTATCAATATTCTGACCATGTTCTTCCATATATTTCTCCACTATTTTCCAGTGTTTTCTCCTTTATGCCTTCTGTCCTTTTCTCTTTTTTCTTTTCTTTTCTTTTCTTTCTTTTCTTTCCTTTCCTTTTCTTTTCTTTTTCCTTCCTTCCCTCCTTCCTTCCTCTTTCTTTCTTTCTTTCTTTCTTTCTTATGGAGATTTATAAAGCATATTTTGGGTATAATGTCAATATATCTGTAACTACTTATTTCTGACTGATAAGGACTTTTTTGGGATTTCATTTTGGTTTGACTTACCACCTTGTAAACCTTTATTATATATGAAAGATTATGTAGCTGTAACCCGTTAATATATTTAATATGTTGTTGATATAGTAGTTTCCTTTGTTGTCTCAAAGATACCCTTTTTTAACAGTTGGTCGGGTCAAAACCCAAACAAGGTCCACATGTTGCATTCAGTCATTTCATCTTTTACATCTCTTTTATTCTAAAATAGTTCTTGGTCTCTTTTTGTTTTTATGTCATTGATTTATTGGAGGAACTGTGTTACTTGTCCTGGGTTACTGAGTCATTGTTTTATTAGGAGGTATAAATTGGTGATTCTGTCATTCTTGTTCTATTTAACTAGAATTATTTAATAAAGGAAATGCTGAAATGTAATTCTTTTAGAAATGGCAGAATAAGTGCTTAATTTTTCTATTTTTAAATGAATTTTAGAGTAATAAATTGGTGCTTTAGTATCTCCAAAAGAAGATTTATTATTATCATTATGAACTTCAATTTTTACATGAGTATGTTTCAGTCCAATGCAATAATTATTGTTTTGATGCTCATGATATTCCTTCTTTGGCTATTGATCATTTTTAACATGTATTTATCAGTGTTTAATATTTTGGGTTTTTTTTTGCTTTCTTATATAAGATATTTCAGATTTATCATATGTATTTTCTGCCTCACGTCTGGAATCAGCCATCTTCAAATTCTTGGGGTTTTTGTTTGTTTGTTTGTTTGTTTGTTTTTTGGTAGGAAGTGGAATTTAGAAACTATAACCTGGGTACTAGGAAACTAGGAATGTTCACTCTTTAGGAGTATTATTATTACTAGTCCTTTCAGTGAATAGCCAAGGGGAAAAATACAATAGTTTGTTTAAGAGAAAAATTAATCATGAGCCTATATTGGTATTTTTTCTTACTTGTTTTTATTTATTTTCTCTTTCACTGAAAAACTTGGTTCTTAATGAATGAATAAAATTTCTAGTTTTGTATAATGTACATATAATAGTTTCAAAATAAGATTAGTGAATCCATACTGACATTTCTTTTCAGTTTGTTTTGTGCTTAAAATATATGCCACTGAGGATTTACTATCAAAACACTGTGTTTTAAAGTCATTTGAAGTAAGTAAGCTTTACTTGGCCTAGTTATGCCACTAATTTAATAGTAGGTTTGTTTCAGAATGTTTGAAATTTAGATAGGCTGTTTTCCTTTTTTTTGTCTTAATTTTTTCTTTTAAATTATAGAAAAATTTGTGATTTCCATACATAAAAGGTATATTCACAGAATGTTCTTACATATTAATTCCATTTTTTCTTTTTCCATAGGATTTGGCTTTTAGTATAATAGGTACTAGCTACATGTAGATGTTTAACTTTAGATTATTTATAAATAAATAAGTTAGAAATTTATTTTCTTTAATTTCTATCCACATTTTAAGTTTTTAAGTGCCCATGAAGCCATATGTGACTGATGGCTACCATGCTGGACAGCGCT